GCCGTCCGGTCTGATGAGAGAGAGAGAGATAGACAGAGAGATCAAGGTCCTTCGAATCTTACGGGGGAAACAGATAGTTGGATTTGTCATTTTTATTAGAAACCCTAAGTTTTGCGATCATTGTTTTTGAACCCGCACATTTTCCAAAGTCAATCCAAACACCCAAAATAGTCACAATGAACTATTTTTTTTAAACTCACGTATCGGTAACTATATTTGTGTTTCGTTCTTTTTCAAAAGTGGAAAAGTTGTCAGATGCTATTTTAGTGATACATGCTTTTTGGTATTGTATTTTATTTACTTTATCTGACAATATTATCCTGGTAATACAGAACTTGCTTGCAGCAAGGGGCTGTTTGGATAGGTTTTTTTGAGTGGTAAAAGAGGAGAAAGCTGCTAAAAATGTCAGCTTTTTGGCAGCTTTCCCCCAAAATCATCTTTTTAAGGGGTGATTTTGGGGGAAAGCTGTCAAAAAGCTGACATTTTTGACAGCTTTCCCCATTTTTACCATCCAAAAAAAGGAACCAAACAGGCCACGAATACTTAGGGAGCTGTTTGGTTGAGTGGTTTTATAGAAAACTTTATAGAAAATGGCTGATAGTGACAGTTTTGTAAATAAAAATTTTCTGGAGATTTTCTATAAACTGTGTTTGGTTCAAATAAAATTTACAAAAAAGTTTTCTATAAAGTACAGAAAAGTATCACATATTATAGAAATCAATTTCCGCTTAATATAAGCGGAAATCACTCAGAAATCTGACGTATATATTAAAAAATAATTAAGTACATCACTACATTTCCCATGTGATTTCTCATGGGCATTGTTAGTAAGCTATTCTCTATAAAGTGACATCCAACCAAACAAAAGAAAATTAAAACAATATATTTTCTATAAAGTTAGAAACTTTTTCATACTTTGAACCAAACAAAGAAATAGCAAAAAACAAGAAATATGGTACTCTTTTGAGTTCTATAAACTTTTCCTACAAATTTTGTAGAAATACAAGAAAATTAAATTTTGAGTACATTTATTTTTCCTCTTTTTTATAGAAATTGAACCAAACACGCCCTTAGGGGGTGTTTGGCAATTTGAAAGTGAATTTAAAATATATAAGTTACTTTTTTTACAAATGACTTTTACATCCATGTCACCACGCAAGTGAAATACAATGTTTGTTTGAAAATTAAATTATTATCGAAAGTGCAATGTGAAGATGACGTGACAAAATAAGATTAATTAGAAAGTATAATTAAAATTATTTAATTAAATTAGTTACCTTTTGTCACTTTTATGCGACTTCACCACTTTTTTAGGGGAAGTCAAAATTGCATTAAATCATATGTGGTAATTTTCTTGCATCTCACTTTCATAACCACTTACATGAAAAACAAACATATTAATTGTTAAATGAAAGTAACTTCCTCACTTTCATCTTTCACTTGCATGCAAACAAACACCAATCTGACTCGGAAGCGTCACGTGATCAACACGTAACCTTTCGTGGCCCTCTTTGAATACATATGTGGTTGTGATGTAATGATTTGACAAGGATAAGTGTTACTTATGATTCTGAAATTCGTAAGATTTGTGTGAAATTTGTGTGTTCTCAAGATTCTTTAGTTTAAGTTGGGCATAAATAAGACGTTTCACAAGAAGCTTATGTGATAAGTCATTTTATCACATAAGCTGATAATCTAGGCATTTAAAAATAATCGTGGGTAGTTTTGATTTAAAATGATCTTAAAAAGTGGAGCGATTTAAAACTATAAAATTTCATATTTTCAGGCGCTTAATCAGAAAAAAAAAACCAGTCTTCACTATTACCATTAATCTCGCATACAAATTAGGAAACTAACCCCTCCCTCTCCTTCTCCTTCAACATATCCACAGACCCATCTCATCATCCACCCAGGATCGATCGGTAAGTTTCTCTCAAATATCTCGATTAATTTGTTTCTTGTTTTGGCGAATTTAATCAAGTTTTTTTGGATGATTTTTTGATGGAGAAAAATAGATGGAAGCAATGAGAGGCCAAGGTGGCATTCAAATGCTGCTCACCGCCGAGCAGGAGGCTCAGCAGATCGTGTCCACCGCGAGAAACAGTAATCCAAATTATGTTAACGCAGATTTCAGTTATATTTTCATCAGAGAAATCTCTCTAAAATGTGAAGTTTTCAAACTTTTAAATCTATCATTCTCGTTTGTGTTTTTAGAGAAAATGTCGAGGTTGAAGAAAGCAAAGGAAGAGGCAGAGAGGGAGGTCATCGCGTATCGGGCTTCATTGGAGAGTGAATATCAGAAGAACATTTCCCATGTAAATCTTTTTTTTTATTTTGGGGTAGTTGTTTTGTGAGATCTGTTGTGATGAATATGTGGTTTATTTGTGATATTGTAGAGCACTGGGAGCTCAGGGAGCAATGCGAAGAGGCTCGACGAGGAGACTGAGGTGAAGATCAATAACTTGAAGAATGCGACTGAGAGCATTCGTTCCGATGTCGTAGGCATGCTCATGAAGCACATTACCACCGTGAGAAATTGATGAAGGTGAGGAGGAGTTCATCCTTCCTTTTCTTCTTCGGCTTGGCTCTTGATTTCATCGATATCAGTTTCAATCGTAGGACTTTACTGAAAATCAAAAGCAAGTAATTAATGCAGATTATTCGAGGTTGGTTGTATCACATACTGAACATTGCATGAAGTGAGCCCCTAAAACTGATTAAACAGAACCCCTACATATTGACATTGCATTTTTATGAAATTTTCCAGGTGTTCATCTCTTAAGAGGATTCGACGAATGGCCTCTATTTGAAACTACATATTTGAAACTACATATTGGACGAATGTATATTATTAGGAGTAGTCTTTCTTTTTAACTCGAATGCTTGAGCCTTACATTCAGAATCCATGGTTAGATAACAGTTTTATGTGCAGGGAGAGAAGATATTATAGGATGCATCATACTTTTATTCATTATATTTGATGAACTAACATACAAAAAATTATTTGCCTTCTTTTATATCCTTCAACAGATTCACACGATGAGAATTTTCGGGGGAAGGTATAACGGGGCTCGATTTTCTGGAGCGTGCTATCCTAATTGCTTGTTATTCATCTCATCGGAGTGATCTGTAATAAAGAAGAAAAGAAACATGGATGTTTACCGTGTTAATTTTTTTTTGTTGAGTTCATAAGAACATTGTTTTTCGATTACTCCCGAGTACTTTCAGGTAATGCTTCAATGGTTACCTTATTTTCTTTTTTAGCTTTTTTTTTCAGCTTAGCATGTTTATCTGGATATTCTTCAATAAACTGATTCCTGATGAAATTTTCGCAACAATAATGTGTGAAGCGATAAATGGTCGTAGGCAACATTTTACATGTCGGTATTGTTCTTAAGAGATGATGGGCCTTAGGTGGAATTAAATTTTGGTCAGCAGAGATGTGAAATGTAATTACAAAAGTGAAAATTCCTAAGAAAAATATTTGAAATCTGATCAAAATTTGTGTGGAGGCCTCCTCCTTTCAGGCCCTCCCCTCATCCTCCTGATTAGTTGTTTCCAGGAGCCACCTGTTTTAAGTCAATTGTCTGTCTGTTTTCGTTACTCTGAAGCAATTTAAACAAGGACTTAAAATCTCCTGCAGGCAAAAGTTCTTGAAGTTTGAATGCTTTCATGTAAATGTACACTTTTCATACGCTTGAAGAAAGTTGGGTTTAAATTCCTGCGCCAAACCGATAATTTCATCGTACAAAGTCTTATGTCCTGCAACAGAAGAACAAAGGTACCCGGGGGATGCAACTCATCCTATGGTGCAGGGTCACAGTCAATAATGATATTGACATGAATGCAAAGTGACAATGTTGATGTGTTAATGTAACCAGTTGCCTTTAGATGTGAAGAAACAGAACCTACTGATGAAACAGCAGTTAGTTACTACGCGATAATGAGAACAACGGTATCGATAATTGCAAATATTTTGTTCTTCTCCTTCCATCCCTATAATTTCATAGGACATCTAAGTGATACCCTCAGTTGTTAATACTGTCAGTTTCTCTTCAAGAAGAGAGCTACAGGGAACCGATAAAGAAGTTGGTATTACAGAAAAGAATAGAACACAAGCATTACAAATCAAAATCATCCCTTATTCAATTAAATTTAGTGCCGGGGACAATTCATTATCAAACAAACAATCTTTACATTATTTCGCCAAAACAAAGTTCAGGCATATGCTCTAGACGGCTTTTGCCAGTCACATCCCTGCTTTAAAGTTCTTCATCAAGCTTACTGGAAATAGCACATAAATACATCCTATACATCATAACACAACAAAAATTCCAAATAATTAAACATTACAGTTTAAGAATTTATCGCGAGAATCGGCTTCAAATAGGGAGAGCAGCTTCCATGGACTGAAGTCTGAGGGTAACCGCCCTTTTGTGGGCTTCTAACCCTTCAACTTCGGCCATTTTCGCCACATAAGGACCGAGATTCTTTAATCCTTCTTCTGTTAGAGATTGCACAGTGATGTATTTGAGAAAGGAATCTAATGACACTCCACTATACATCCTTGCATACCCATAAGTAGGGAGGACATGATTAGTCCCACTTGCATAGTCACCCACGCTTTCCGGCGTCCATTGCCCTAAAAACACGGAGCCTGCAATTGTTTTCATGGAAGTGAACTTCTGTTAGTCGATAAATTGTTTAGATTTTTTTAATTATTAATCATATCTTTCTTGAAAAATTAGATGTCATGTCGGTTGTAAAAAAGTAATGTTTCCGTTTGTAGCATTAATGTTGCACCAAAGCGATTGTTACAGCGGGGGGCTTCACAGACACAGAATATGTTTATACAAGAGTGGAGAATAACAACACTGAATAAACATAGTGAATGCAAAGAGAACAACACATAAGGATTTAACGTGGTTCGGTCAGTATGACCTACGTCTATGGGCGAGAACGGCTGAGAACTTCACTAATCACAAAAGAGAAGATTACAAAGGAAAATCACTCTAATATCTCACCAAACTCACACAAAGAAAAGAACACACAAAGAAAACTCTTTTTTTCCTTCTCTCTTCAAATCTCTTTCTTTTTCTCTTTATTCTGGATCTCTATTCGATACTAACCCTTCACCACTCTCCTCTATTTATAGTCTTCTAAAGGGTTGGTGGAATAGTGTTTTGGGTTGGTGGCATGGTGATTTGGGTTAGTGTTTGGTGGGTTTTGATTCAAAGTCAAAATAACAAATGTCCACCTTAACTTTGAATATGAAGATCTTCTCTTTACTCTTACTGTCTCGCCAGAAGCCCTTTACGGGCTTAACATCCGTTTTATTGAACTCCAAGCAATTCGAGACAATGCTCGAACTTGCGCGAATGTACGGGCTCCATCATCATATCTGCTGAATTATCTGCAGTACCAAATTTTCAATTTTGATGACTTTAATTTCTCTAATAAAATGGTACTTGACATCTATATATTTGGTTCTTTCATGAGACATCTGATGCTTCGTCAAATGTATAGCACTCTGGCTGTCACAAAATATCATAGTAATACATTGATATAAGCCGAGATCTTCAACCAAAACTCTTAATCAAATGGCTTCTTTCACTATTTCTGTCACCATCATATTCTCTACATCTATGGTAGACAAAACAACTAACGACTGTAGAGTCGCCTTACAACTAATGGCACTTACTGAAAAAATGAATATATAACCTGTCAGGGATCATCTCTTATCCAAATTGCCCGCATAATCTGAATCAGAATACTTATTCTGCAATCTGAGTTTGTGTTCCTGCCAAAATATAAACCAATATTAACCGATCCTCTCAAATATCTAAGTACTCATTTCACAGCCTACCAATGGATCTTTTCAGGCTTATCCATATACCGACTCACAACACTGACTGTATGTGAAATATCTGGACGGGTGCAAACCATAGCATACATAATGCTTCCAACTGCAATCACATAAGGAACACAAGACATGTACTGCTCCTCCTCTTCAGTCTAAGATGACAAATCTGCTGAAAGATAAAAATGAGCAGCAAGCGGAGTCTTCACAAGCTTGGCATCAAGCATGTCAAATCTTTCCAACACCTTTTTGATGTATTTCTCCTGAGATAGGAATAAACTTCATTCTCTCCTATTCCTGTGGATCTCAATCCCCAAAATCATCTTTACTGCTCCCAAGTTCTTTATCTCAAACTCATGCTTGAGTTGAGATTTTAACTCGTTGATTTCTGACATATCTTTAGCTGCAATCAACATGTCATCAACATACAAAAGTAAATACACAAAAGAACCATCATTGGGCTTTTTATGATAAACACAACTATCATATTTACTCCTAAAGTAATCATGCTCAAACATGAAAGTATCAAATCTCAAATATCATTGTCTCGGAGATTATTTCAACCCATAAAGAGATTTCTTTAACCTACACACATGATCTTCTTTTCCTTCAACAGTGAACCCCTCTGACTGATGCATAAAAATCTGCTCCTCAAGCTCGCCATGTAGAAAAGTCGTCTTCACATCAAGTTGTTCAAGCTCCAAATTAAAATGAGCAACATAGCAAGCAACACGCGGATTGAGGTGTGTTTTTTACAACTGGAAAGAATACTTCATTAAAGTCTACACCTTCTGTCTGATTGTAATCTTAGCTACCAAGCATACCTTGTACCTTACAGAATATGTATCCGAAGCTTCTTTCTTCTTGAACACCCATTTACAGTCAACGATTTTCTGTCACATTGGTGACTTCACTAACTCCTATGTCTGATTCTTGTGAAAAGACTTCATCTCTTCAGTCATCGTAACAGTCCAATTTGCACCTTCATTGCCACTAATAGCCTCCTTATAAGTAGAAGACTTTGGAATCTCAATCGATTCTGTAATACTCAAAGCGTAAGCAAGCATGTCTACATAGCGTTGAGGTCGAATCTGCCTTTTTGTTCTCCCGATGACAATATTATATTGTTGCTCTTGTGGTGTGTCAGCATCTAAGGTTGAACCTTCTGTAGTATCAACTGGTTCAACATGAGCGCCCTCAAGCACTCTCTTTGAAGCTGAGCTCTCTACCTCCACTTGCTTGCTAGACTCATTTTTAGTACGTGGGGTATTAATAACAAAATCCTTTCTCGGGTGAAGTATGGATTTCTCATCAAAAGTAACATCCCCACTAATAATAAACTTAGGTGATTTGAAATCAGAACACTACAATCTATATCCCTTCACCCCAGTAACATATCCTAGAAAGATAGATTTCTTTGCTCTGGGTTCAAACCTACCATCATTAACATGAAAATAAGCAGAACAACCAAATACTCTTAAATAAAAGTAATTAGCAGGGGCATCAGACCATACCTCTTTTGGAGTCTTAAAATCAATTGTTGTAGAAGAAGATCCGTTTATCAAATAGCAAGCTGTATTGACTGCATCGGCCCAAAAATCTTTTGACAAACTGACATTAGAGAGCATGCACTGAGCTCTCTCTTAAAGTGTTATGTTCATCCTTTCTACAACTCCATTTTGTTGTGGTGTATGTCGAACTGTACGATGACGCACAATACCTTCATTCTTGCAGAATTGGTCAAACTCTGCGAAACAAAACTTCATCTCATTGTCGGTTCTGAGGCGCTTCACTTTCTTTCATGTTTGCTTCTCAATCATTACCTTCCATTGCTTGAAGGTTACAAACACATCACTCTTATGCTTCAAAGGATACACTCAAACTTTTCTGGAATAATCGTCAATCAACGTTAGCAGAAATCGAGCTCCACCTTTCGATGGAACCCCAAATATCTGAATGGATATAATCTAAAGTACCATTGGTTCTGTGAACATTGGTACTAAAGGAGACTCTATGGTGTTTGTCAATATACAATGCCCACAAAAGTCTAGCTTACTGGTTTTCTGAACACAAAGCAGATCTTTTTTGCTCAATACATCTTGTCCTCTCTCACTCATATGTCCTAACCACATATGCCACAAACGTGTAGTTTTAGAATCTGAATCTTCTGAGGATGACACTGCTGCAGCACTTGTCACTGTACTGCCTTTAAGGATATAAAGGATATTTACTTTTTTTCCTTTCATTACAATAAGAAAGCATTTACTAACTCTTAAAACTCTACCTTTAGCCGAAAACTTAAAACCATTTGAGTCAATAATGCCTAAAGAAATGAGATTCTTCTTTAACTCTAGTATATGTCGGACATTGCTAAATGTTCTAACAATATCATCATGGGTTTTAATCTTAATTGATCTGATACCAATAGTCTTACGAGGCATGTTATTTTCTAATAAGACATTCTCACCATCGATAGACTGATATGTGACAAACTAATCCATATACGAACACATATAGTAGGCACAAACCGAATCAAGAACCCACTCATCTTGTGAATGAGTATTAACACTAACTGAAAGAACTTCATATGAACTAGAAGACTCTTCAGTTACAGTGACAACTGAAGGGTTTACCTCCCCAGACTTCGATCGTGAATTATCTTTTGCTTTGAGCGCTGGACAATTAGGTTTTATATGCTCATACTTGTGATAGTAATTACATTCAATATTTTTTTTTTGGTTTGGACTTTGATCTAGACATATTTCTAGATTTGCCTCTACCACCAACACTCTTTTCAGGATGACCACGAACGAATAAGCCTTCAACTTGATCCTCTCCTCCTACTACAGACACTTTCTGTCTTACCTCTTTTGAATGTAAGGCTGATTTAACATCTTTCAAAGAAAGTGTATCTCTACCATAAAACATGTCATTGATAAAATTTTCATAGGAATGAGGTAATGAACATAACAAGATAAGGGTTTGATCTTCCTCGTCGATTTTAACATCAATATTCTTTAAATCCATAAGAATAGTATTAAGTTCATCTAAGTGGTCTTTAATCTGCATACATTCCTTCATGCGAATGGTGAAGAGGCGTTGCTTCAAGTAGAGCTTGTTCGTTAGAGATTTCGTCATATACAAGCTCTCTAACTTGAACCACAAGCCGGAGGCGGTATCATCATTGACAACCTCCCGTAGGACCTCATCGGCCAAACAGAGCTGTATGATACTATGCGCCTTCATCTCCAGCTCTTCTTTCTCATAATCGGGCATAGATTCCGTCAACTTATCTTTTCCAGACAAAATTTTAAACAGTCCTTGTTGTACTAAGAGAACCCTCATTTTTACTCTCCACAAACTGAAGTTATTTCTCCCATCAAATATCTTCACTTTGTATTTTGCAGAAGATCTTGAAGCCCACTAGAACAGTAACTGTAATTGTGAACAGAAATCGTACTTATGATCAGTAACCTTACGTATGAATAGTATCATACTCGTGAATAGTATCTAGTGCCTTTAAAGAGTAAGTGATAATCTGACTTATTTTCTGATGTGGAGGACCCACTTTTAGTGACAGCCACAGAGCATACGATAAGCAGATACACGTACTCTAAGTCATGCTCTGATACCAATTTGTTGCAACGGGGGCTTCACAGACATGGAAGATGTCAATACAAAAGTGAAGAATAACAACACTGAATAAACACAGTGAAAATAAAGAGAACAGCACACAAGGATTTAACGTAGTTCGGTCAATATGACCTACGTTCACGGGCGAGAATAGCAGAGAACTTCACTAATCACAAAAGAGAAGATTACAAAGGAAGATCACTCTAATGTCTCACCAAACTCACACAAAGAAGAGAACACACAAAGAAAACTCTTTTTTTTCTTTTCTCTTCAAATCTCTCTTTCTTTTTCTCTCTGTTCTAGATCTCTGTTCGATGCTCTAACCATTCACCACTCTCCGCTATTTATAGCCTTCAAAAGGGTTGGTGGAATAGTGTTTTGGGTTGGTGACACAGTAATTTGGGTTGGTGGAATAGTGGTGTTTGGTGGGTTTTGATTCAAAGTAAAAATAACAGCGATATCAAGCCATGGCACATAGCGCACCTCTCAAGTCAGTAATATATGGACCAGAACCACTTAATACTTTCAGTCTTAATCTTGCTCATAATAACAACTTAAGTGTAGAATAAATGTGCAACGGAGATTGAGGTAGGAAAGTCACTTCAATATTCATGATTTATGCAATAATCGCCGTATACGGGTCTAATCCAACTATGCTGCTTCACTACCAAATATCTCCTCGAGTATTAGGTAATTGTTCACATCACAAGTAATATTTATATAGGCAAGAAATATCATGAAATTTAATTTTTTTTAACTCTGATGTAGCAACAATAATGATGCCGATTGCTAGATTTGGATCCATAGACAACCATACAGGAGACTTTGCTTGAAAATTAGCCTGATGTTCTCTCTATGTAGTCATCCACTAGCCGGATGTTGTAACTATTCAGTATCATTTTTTTAAGAGCTCCTATTGGGACTTAAAATGAAATCCAACTGTGGATGATGATAACAATGTAACATGAGAGTGAAGTGGTACCTGCATTCTCAATGAGACCCTCCCACTTCTCTGGCTCTTTGACATTAATAATTAAATGCTCAGGAGCATACAAGTTTGAGAATGAGACAGCCTGAAAAGAACAAATAGATATAGTTCAACTTATCCCAAACAGTAAGCATCTTAGAGTATTGAGCGGGCAATGTATATTTCATTAGCCAACCTCAACCATATCTCGAGCAAATACAGTGAAGCTGTGGCCAAGTGCTTTTGAAGCATACTCTCCTCTTGGAAGGCTATCACATTGTTTGCTAATTTCACTCTCAATGGCAACGATGTCAACACCATCTCCAACAATCACAAGAACAACCTGACTATCTGGACCATGTTCTGCCTGCGTATAGCAAAACAGCCATTTAGCGCTTGCACCATAAACTTACGGGGAAAATGATCAGAGTTGTAGGATCAAGCTAGAAGAGTAAAATGAGCCCGATTCAGATTGATTGCATTTAAAATATGAACCCCAACTTGATAAGGAAATTGAACCCAAAGTCAGGTTCTTTAATAAGCACGAAGGCACTGGGACTTCATTAGCTCAAAATGTAGGCATTGCAAATTGATTCATTAATAGATCTCAAAAGGACAACGTTAGAAGTCTAGCTATGCCGTGAATCATCAAAACCAGAAAGAAGAATGAAAGGCATATTCATCTCTTCCTTCTTGGGAGACGGCAAAAAAAACTAATGGGGATGAAAAGTTGATACCTGAGAGAGTAAATCTGCAGCTATGTGGGTAGGGTTTGCATGCTTATCTGCAATGACTAAAACCTCTGATGGGCCTGCAGGCATGTCTATGGAAACCATGGCTTCACTGTTCTGCAGGAAGAGTAGCGAACAACATGTTGAGAGAGAGAGAGAGAGAGAGAGAGAGAGAGAGAGAGGTGTTTTGAACTAAACATACCTGAAGAATCATTTTTGCAGCTGTAACATACTGATTACCAGGCCCAAAAATCTTCTCAACCTGCAAAATATCATGAAAGCAATTTTTTTTTATTTTGATAAATCATCCAACAATAACTGTAATAACACCATAGAAGTTGTATGGAAAAAATAATAATTAAAGGCCAAATTAAACCAAATACCCGATATCAAGAAATTATAACTAGGAATCTAGTTCTCATGCACTTTCAGCTCCTACAAGATTACACAGATACTATGTAATATATCCTCTTTTCATAAACCAATATTTTTCAGTATATTGGGGTTCTTCTTCTTCTTCTTCTTTTGATTGATAATTTAACAAGGATATGCATGGAATTGATCAAAAAATAGTCAGGGTGCAGAAAGTTAACGCAAAATTAGCGTTAATGCACAACGTTTCCTCTTCCTATCCCCCTGAGACTGAAGAAAACCTATCAGAAGGTGGAAACCAAAGGGGCCATCCCTTGATGTATTAATGAAGAGACAATCTCTCCCAAAACATTTTTTATCTTTAATTACATCATTCAATGATTATTATCAATCACCAAGTAGAAGCCATAGAATGCAAGTTGCTAAATCAGGATACAAAACTTCTGCATAAAAGGAAATAACTTTTCAAAGTAAGGCAACAAGAATCTACATGTCTCTGGCTCATTGTAACGAGTTCATGATGAATAGCTATGGTATTGGTGTCACTACCTTCGGGCAAGATGCAGTCCCCCAAGCCATGGCTGCAATCGCCTGCTAACAAAGCAAATTAGGGCTGTCTAATAAAGCGAAGAAAACTGAGCTTATGAAAAGAATTTGCACCTGAGCTCCTCCAGCTTTTAATATGTGAGTCACACCAGCTTTCTTGGCACAATAAAGTACCTCCTGCAGGAAATGTTTAGTAATGTTTTATATAATAATAATAGTACTAAGATCTCTCAAAAGATTCTACCTTGCAGATACTTCCATCACTACTTGGAGGAGTTGCAAGGACAATAGTCTTGCATCCAGCTATCTGAGCAGGCTGATTAAAGGAAAAAAAATAGAAGGTCAGCTTTCTTAAATTTACTTGAGGAAATAAAAAGAAGATGTTTGAGACAGGTGCATACCACTGATAGCATCAAAGCAGTTGATGGTAAGACAGCAGTTCCCCCAGGGACATATAAGCCCACAGCAGCAATTCCCCTTGATATTCTTTTGCACCTGACACCCTATAAAAATATATTATATGTAATAATAATAAAAGCTATCAAACAATTCAAACCAAATTAAACATGAAAGTAAATGTTTACCTTCATGTTCTCAATATTCTTCTCGGGAGTCCTTTGAGAAAGATGAAATGCATATATATTGTTATATGCCACATCAAATGCTTCCTTCACAGCTGGATCTAGCTGCAGTTTAGCTAGTGTTAGTCATTATTCATTCAGCTGACAGAAAACTTTTATACAAAATCGGTAATGAATGCTAGCTAAGGACACTAATATCTGGTCATAAACCCATTAGAAAAACTGATTAAGTGCATTAGCTCAAAGTTTGGAAAGGATATCTGATTATTCTTCCTAGCGTTTTCTTATTTGATGTTCTTGTGGTATCTTATCAGGCTTTCTGTGTCATAATTCTTCTTTTCTTCCTTCCAACCATTTACAATTTAAACAAATTCTTTATGTGGTTACACTCTACAATATATACATCATAACTCATAACCTACAGATCAATGTCATAGCTCATAATCTGCAGATATATACATCATCATCACATACCTTGTAAAAGGTATCGCCTTTGATTTTAGGTGTTTTTGCGTATATACCCCTCAAAGCTTTCATATTTACAAACTTACCCCCAAATCTTGGTATTTCCAAAGTTACCCGTCAATTCTCTCATATTGAGTTTCTCTACCCCCGCCCCCTCTTGAGGATTTTAGTTTTTAAACAGAAAATATTGTGATATATTGGAAATTATTGAAAATTTTGACATTGTTCTATTTAGAAACCAATATTATTACATTCGAGGTGTAGAAAACCCAAATATGACAGAATAAGGGGGTAATTTTGCAAATACAAATATTTGAAGGGTAAATTTGCAAATATGGAATATTTGAGGGGTTTATACGCAAGAAACACTTGATATTAAACAATATCAGAAAAATCAATCACATAAGTTATAATAGGTACTTTTGTTATCAAATTTTATGTCTTGAGTTTTTCCCTTTCCGTTTTAATATTTCTATGCTGCATGCACATACAAATCTAAATTAAATTACATTTCCTCTGAAAATTCAAAATTATAGTAAACCATGAGCGATAACCCCTTTCCAGTATAGTAAAGGGTAAGCAATGACCCCTTTCCATGAAGAGAGTGGAAAGAGAAACAACGTAAAACAAGAAAGTAGGATCAAGAATTGGAAAGTTCAGGAAACTCTCAGAAACTTTTTCCCCTCTTGCGTCCTAAATCCTAAGTGGAAACAAGGCTGGATGAAAAAAAGGAGGAACGATCCCAAAAGACAATGAACTTCCTAGCTCGCTTACACTTCGAAATCAAATCCAAGGGTCAGATAATATTTCCACAGCCTTGGAAGGATGTAATTTGATATATTGTGTCCGTTTACTGTTCTTTCAGATGTTGTCCCATTCAAATTGCCTTTGGTGGACTCTCCTCACAACTGCATAGGATAGGTGGTTTTCTTTGAGCTTCTTGTTGACTGAAAATGTTGCTAATACACTGATTCACAGCTAGAACCTTTCAAAATCAACCGATCAGGTTTTTTATCATCATGCATGTATCCAGCTGAAAATAATTTCCAGAAAGCTCTCCAATCACAAAATAGTGTTACCGCTCTGAACACACATTAAGTAATAAACTGTTTGTCAGTTCTGAGATATTAATCAATAGCCTTAACCAGTCCATGCCGACACTAGATTTGTGGATCAATAACTTAAATCAAATATAAATAACCTGATGTTGGTAAATTATGATATGCATTTCAGTGTGTCTTCCATTTTTTTTCCTTTGGCCACCTACGATTCTGCCTCTTGAATCATTTATGTATAATGAACAGAAACATTTAGTTGATCACTAAAAAGAGCCAGCCAACTCATTGTTTCCCAAGTGAAAATAACATGTGCATCACTTTTAAAACAGCATACCATACTGGCTTCTTCTAGAGATTATTACAGAGAAATATATATGAGATGGGACAAAAATACAATATGAGCTTAGTAACTCATTGATAGGTGTTGGGAGCGCGAGGCGCTCTTACAGCAGCGGAAGCTAGTATATCCTCAAGAGAATTAACCCTAGCTCGAGTTTAAGCCAAACTCAAACTAACTAATACAAGCAATAACGAATACATAGATAAACAGTAAGTAAATGAGGCGGGACAACATATATACGTGGTTCGGCAAACTTGCCTACGTCCACGGGAGCCACACAAATAATTTCTTATCTAACCACAAGAAATTACAAAGCTTATAAAAGTGAGAATCTCAAACTAGAGCTCTCACAACACCAACTATCTTCACTGTAGTAAATGCTACAGGAACTGAGCAATTTTCTTGACCGAAAATTGATTCTCAAATTATTCTGAGAAGTACCGCTGGAGTTAAGGCGCCGCCACAACAGAAGAAGTTTTCTTCTGTTGAAAAGTTCCGCTCAGCTTTGATCCAAAGAATCGAGTGAACAGGGTTTCCCTTTTATAGGGAAACCCTAGCTCAAGCTCCAGCTGGCTCCAGCTGTATCCCATCGACAGGCGAAATCCCAAGAACCAGCAGACGACATTTCTTCTGGCGAGATCCACTCGCACTTGATCAGGCGAAATCAAGGCCTTCGCTACAGGCGAGCACCACTCCCGCAGGCGAGTTCTCCACAGGCGGGTTCTTATTTGGGAGCTCTCCGATAGGATAACTTGGATTTTTAATCGGTTATCGTTTTTGGCAAGTTATCGGGGAGTTATCGGCGTTATCGGTACTTATCGGCCGATAAGTAAGGTTTTTTTATCGGGATTATCGGCCGATAAGTAAGGCTATGCAATCGAATAGTTTCATCGTGCAGTCAAGATGCAAGTTTTGCTTTCTATAATTGGTTAGTGATTCTAAACATGATGATTTACATTTTGGTATGTTTATATTTCATTAAGTATGGTTAGATTATATTTTTTAGTTATCATATTATATATATACATCATCCAGTATATCACTCCGATAAATACTACTTATCCCCGATATATCCCCGATTTCCGCTATCCGATAAGGATTTTGGCCGTCCGATAAATCCCCGATAACCGCTATTTAAAACCTTGTTCACAGGTGCGATTTCCTTCAATTCTCCACCTCGTCCATCATTTGATAAACCTCAAATTTTGGACGAACACCAGAAGAACACCGCGAACACCAAACATGACCAAACTCGGTCAAACCAGCTGCGCCACTATACCGCGGCTGCCTACGTACCCTCCACAGGGATCAAGCTAATTGTAGTTCTGCTATTGCCCTCTTGGGCAGATTAACACGGGCTGATATGAAGCAAGTCCAAGCAATGCTGAAACTTGTTACTTGTCACCACCTTGGTTAACATGTCTGCCGGATTCTCATTCGTGTGCACCTTCATGAGAGAAATATCACCTTCCTCTATGACATCCCGCACAAAATGATACCGGACGTCGATATGCTTGGTACGAGCATGATGAACTTGATTCTTAGCCAAATGAATTGCACTCTGACTATCGCACTACAAGTTCACACTATCCTGCTCAATCCCCAGATTATCTAACAGACCCCACAACCACAATGCTTTCTTCACTCTCTCTGTCATGGCCATGTACTCAGCCTCTGTAGTAGAAAGTGCCACTGTAGCCTGTAACATCGATCGCCAACTAACTGGAGCACCATGTATACTGAATACATTACCAGTAGTAGATCGCCGTCTGTCTAGATCGCCCACATAATCTGAGTCCACAAACCCATCAATCTGACATGTATCTCCACCAAAACACAGACCCGTATCTGCGGTACCTTTCAAGTACCTCAGGACCCACTTCACAGCTTCCCAATGCGCCTTTCCCGGATTCGCCATGAATCTGCTGACCATACTAACCGCTTGTGAAATATCTGGGCGTGTACACACCATAGCGTACATCAAACTGCCAACTGCACTAGCATAAGGAACACGTTCCATGTGTGTCTTATCTTCCGCTGTAGTGGGAGATTGTTTACCTGAGAGCCTGAAGTGTGGAGCCAATAGAGTAACCGACTTAGCACTTTGCATTCCGAACCTCGCGATCACCGGCTCTATGTAGCCCTTCTGACTTAAGAACAATCGCCGATTCTCCCGCTCTCTCCTTATCTCCATACCCAGTATTTTCTTTGCAGCGCCCATGTCCTTCATCTCGAACTCTTTACCAAATTAAGATTTTAACCTATCTATCTCCACCTTACTCTTAGAAGCAATAAGCATGTCATCCACATACAAAAAAAGATAGATATAGTCACCTTCACGAAGCTTCCGAATATAGACACAACAGTCATACTCGTTTCTAGAGAACTCATGCTTTAGCATGAAGGAGTCAAATCGCTTGTACCACTATCGCGGAGATTGCTTCAATCCGTACAATGACTTCCTCAAGCGACATACATGATTCTTCTTGTCCTCAACCTTGTAACCCTCAGGTTGATGCACATAGATCTCTTCATCCAAGTCTCCGTGTAAGAAGGTCGTTTTAACATCGAGTTGTTCCAGCTCAAGATCACCATGAGCAACAATACTCAATAGCACCCGAATAAAAGTGTGTTTCACCACCGGAGAAAAGATCTCATTGTAATCCACATCATCTCTTTGTGCAAATCCCTTAGCCACTAACCTCGCCTTGTACATCGTACCACCGAGCTCTGAATGATCTTCCTTTCTTTTATACAACCACTTACAGCCTATAGCTTTCTTTCCTGTGGGCAATGGGATCACCTCCCATGTTTGGTTCTTCCGGAGAGATTCCATCTCCTCCTCCATCGTAGCCAACCAACTCTCGCTTCCGGAGAGATTCCATCTCCTCCTCCATCGTAGCCAACCAACTCTCGCTATCTCTATCCCGAATAGCTTTCTTAAAGGAGACCGGCTCATCTTCCTCCACCGAGAGTGCGTACTCAACCAAATTAACATGCCCATAGTGCTTCAGGGGTTGATCAGCCCCCAGCTTCTGTACCTGCTTGTATACTCGTCTTGGCCTAGTAGAAGCCAATGCTATCCTCGCGCTGCTGTTATTGTAGTGCTTGTTATTCTCCTATGATGCCTCTCCTGTTCAAGCTCCTGGCTGGTCTTTAGATTCTATCTCAATAACCTGTGACTCGGGAGTCCCAACAGTCTCAACACCACCATCTTTGGGCACCCTAGCAATCATGGACTTCTCATCAAAGGTAACGTCTCTGCTGATCACGAACTTCGAATCTTCTGTACATCAAAGGCGCCTTTTACGCCCTTTGCATACCCCAAGAAAATTACCTTCTTAGCCCTCACATCAAGCTTTCCCTCGTTGACGTGATAGTAGGCGGTACATTCAAAAATCCGGAGCCTCTCATAATCTGCATGCTCCCCTGACCACCCCCGATAGAGTGTATCACCGTCCAATATCGAATGTGGAGATCGATTCATAATATAACAAGCTGTAGCAATCGACTCTGCCCACCATTCTTTGCCCAAACCAGCATAAGATCGCATACTCATTGCTTTCTCCCGTAATGTTCGGTTCAGTCTCTCCGCGACCCTATTTTGTTGTGGTGTAGATCTAACTGTCCAGTGTCTGACAATCCCCTCCTAATCGCAGAACTCCTTGAAGGCACCATCTGTATACTCTGTACCGTTGTTAGATCTCAATGTCTTCAATTTCTTTCATGTCCTGTTCTCAACCATCACCTTCCACTTCTTGAATATCTCAAATACCTCATTCTTATGCTTCAGAAAATAAATCCAAGTATATCTCGAATGATCATCTATGAATGAGATAAAATATCTGGAACCGCCCTTGGAAGTTGTCGAAGCCGGACCCCAAACATCCGTGTGCACATAGTCTAGTATACCTCTGATTTTGTGATTGCTTTTCAAGAACTGGACCCTGTGCGCCTTTTCATACACACAGTCCTCGTAAAAATCCATGCAAGGCTTCTTCAGATTCTTAAGCAAACCCTCTTTACTATGCAGATCCTGACCCTTCTCTGACATGTGCTCAAGCCGCCTATGTCATAACTGTGTGTGCTCATATGCGTCTCCACCACTTCCTTCAGCTCCAACTGCTGCATCTCCTGTCACCGTCGTACCCGAGAGAGTATATAGGTTACCGTGACGAACACCCTTCATCACTGTTAGGGAACCTCGAACAACCTTCTTCACTCCGTTCTCTGTTACGATCTTGCAACCCCCGGAGTCCAAAGCACCAACTGAGATTAGATTCTTTACGATCTTGCAACCCCCGGAGTCCAAAGCACCAACTGAGATTAGATTCTTCCGCAAGTCGGGAACGTGCCTTACATCCGTCAAGGTTCGAATCCAAAGCACCAACTGAGATTAGATTCTTCCGCAAGTCGGGAACGTGCCTTACATCCGTCAAGGTTCGAATCACTCCATCATGCATCTTGATCTTGATATCGCCTAGCCCCACCGTTTTACAAGCATGGTTATTCCCTATCAGTACGGTTCCACCATCAATGCTCCTGTAGATAGCAAACAACTTCCTATTTGGACACATATGGTAAGAGCAACCAGAATCAAGTATCCACTTCCCGGAGGTTTCCTCGCCACCCGTGACGACATAGCATTCTTTATCGCTTCCTTCCTCTGAAGCGTAGCTCGCCTCTTCCTTGTCTTCTCGTCTTTCAGTCTTGTTGTTATTCTTCTTCCTACCTATTCTCTTGTTAGGACAATTGACTTTGAAATGTCCTAGCTCATCGCATTTGAAACACGGTCTTTCCGTAAGAGGTCTTGATTTTGATCTAGACTTTCCTCCCTTGCCTTTTCCTCGCTCATTGCCTCTTCCTCTGGTAAAAAACCCCTGCGCTTGTTCTTTGTTACCACTAGTGGCCATATCACTAGATGCAATTTTCCGAAGATCATCCGCTAGAAGCGCCGTTCTAGTCTCATCCATCGACAAACTATCACCCACAAGCATTAGTGTTTGAACCAGATTCTCATAAGATTTTGGCAGAGATAGAAGTAGTAGAAGAACCTGATCCTCATCTTCCACTGTCACTTTAATGTCTTTCAAATCCGATAAGATCCTATCGAACTTGTTGATATACTCCCGGATTGACAAGCCTTCCTCCATCTTGCAAGTGTACAGTTTAGATTTAAATAGATCCGGTTCGTTAGACTCTTCGTCATGAAGGTGCTCTCTAACTTTAACCACACGCCCGCAGCCGTTTTCTCTCCATCCACCAAGAAAGCTACATCCCTTTCAAGGCAAAGGATAATCGACGCTCGTGCTTCCAGATCCAGCTCCTCCCAATCCTCATCAGACATATCCTTGTGCTTCTTCTCTTTTCCCGCCAAAGTCTTGTGTAATTTCTGCGAAATCAGCGAATTTTTCATCTGCATCCTCCAATAAGAGAAATCATTCTTCCCATTGAATTTCTCGATCTCATACTTTCCCACTTTAACTGTTTTACTTGTGGACGTCATTCTCCGCTTGTATTAATAAATCTAATTCTCTCAGAAATTTCAACAATAAACAAGCACCACCTCAAATCAAAAATTTTACCACCTCCAATCTGAACAAGGGTTCTGATACCAATTGTTGAGAGCGCGAGGCGCTCTTACCGCAGCGGAAGCTAGTATATCCTCAAGAGAATTAACCCTAGCTCGAGTTTAAGCCAAACTCAAGCTAACCAATACAAGCAATAACGAATACACAGATAAACAGTAAGTAAATAAGGCGGGACAACAGATATACGTGGTTCGGCAAACTTGCCTACGTCCACGGGAGCCACACAAATAATTTCTTATTTAACCACAAGAAATTACAAAGCTTATAAAAGTGAGAATCTCAAACTAGAGCTCTCACAACACCAACTATCTTCACTGTAGTAAATGCTACAGGAACTGAGCAATTTTCTTGACCGAAAATTGATTCTCAAATTATTCTGAGAAGTATGGAGTTAAGGCGACGCCACAACAGAAGAAGTTTTCTTCTGTTGAAAAGTTCCGCTCAGCTTTGCTCCAAAGAATCGAGTGAACAGGGTTTCCCTTTTATAGGGAAACCCTAGCTCAAGCTCGAGCTGGCTCCAGCTATATCCCATCGACAGGCGAAATCCCAAGAACCCGCATGCAACATTTCTTATGGCGAGATCCACTCGCACTTGATCAGGCGAAATCAAGGCCTCCGCTACAGGTGAGCACCACTCCCGCAGGCGAGTTCTCCACATGCAGGTTCTTCGACCGCGTCAGGCGAGCTCCACAGGTGCGCCCACGCCTGAACTCCTCGTCGCCTGAGCTCCGCCTCCACCAGCAATCGACGCCGTTGCCGTCCACCGTCGTCGTCGAGGTCGCCGACGAGGTCCTCTGTTCTTCACAGGTGCGATTTCCTTCAATAGGTGTTTTGAAAAGCTAATAGACTATTTCCTATCTAAATTTATAACAAATAAGATCAATTAAACTGTTACAGAAATTAAGTTTACATGAGTGATACCAAAGTAACATATATAAAGTTATAAACTTAATGGTAGCAGAGCAAAAGCTTGCAAGAACAAAAATGAAAACTAAATGAAAAGTAATTACTTTCCCTCCGATCTATCAGTACCTCTATATATACTATGAAAGAACTAAAATATAAATTTGGTTCGATCAACCTACCTCTGGATCCGGAAGATCACAGACAAGCTCTACCACTTTGTTCAATGTAACTTTGTCAAACCTCGAGGTGTATCTGCAAGATCAAAATTTATAATTAATAAGTCAACACGAGCTTCCACGTCAGTTAAAAGATAAAATTGAAGAAGCACCAACTCTACAACAGCAGCATCTCCTCTACTTTGCACATCATCCACAATGGGTTGCACCTAAATTTATTCAACATCAAGTAACATTACTTGGTCTCGATTCTTTTAGTTTCAACCAATAAACAATTGGACAAGCTACTCACAACACTAAAAATTGAGGTGAAATCAATTCGAGGCCGAGCCTTGAGGCTATTGACCTCAGCATAAGTAAGCTCTGACAACTTGTAAGATTTCATTGCGCACCTAACAGTTTGAGCCCTGAAACCTGCAAAAAGAAGTAAAAAAGAATAAAAAACAATCTTATTTTTTTATTTAATAACATAATTAAAATAAATCACTTGGATAACTCTAACACCTGCAATCAAGCAGCATAGCTTATAACTTCCAGCTCTAGGGCCACAAGATATTCGGAAATTTTGAAGTTTATTGTTGCAAATAACTTGATTAATCCCAGACAAAGACAGAATTGCAGTGTCCATCCACTGCCTTGTATCTTGATTTCCTGAAATGATACCATGTACAACAGCATAATCAAGAATTACTGAAAATAATTTATGAGAAATTCAGACAATGTTCCATATTTCATACAGTTGATTCATTGGCCAGGATTTCTTGGGAATTGGATCTTTGCAGAAGCAAAAGGGACTGGGCAACTCGAGAGTGCCAGGATAGATGGCTTTTGGTGAGCAGGGAGTATTTCCAGAAGGTGGATGAAAATATTATGTGTGAGCAGGTAGGGCCAGAGTGAGGTTTTAGGGATTGGCAAGTGAGAAAGGCAACAGTTTGCAGGTCAAGGTGAAACCTACTTTGAACCTGCCAACCGAGACATTTGGAAAACAGTAGTGAAAGATATGTATTATCTTCTTATTGATTGTTGGCAAAAATGAGTTTACTAAAAAAACCACCTAGAATGGTATACATTTCAACACCATATTCACATTTATAGTTCTTATAACAACAACATCAACAAAGCTTTTATCCCAAATATTTTGGGATCGGCCACTTGAATCTTTTTCCTCCACTTAGTTATACTAAGGGTCATTTCCTCGACAAAGTTAAGCACTATAACACTCTCTTATCGTCCCATCAAATTCACTTAGGCCTAGATCTATGCCTCCTTACTCTATTAGCTATAGCCCTACCATTTCTTCTGACTAGCGCACGCACTGGCCTTTGTGCATAACTGCAAACCATCTCAATCAATTCTCATACGGATCACCTCTTGAGTTAACTTCTCGGGAATGTACTCATATTTGAGCTCTTATAAAATATAGCTCTCTTTTTTGCCACACTAAGTTTTCAACCATGTTTATTAATTGCCCAATATTTGCAGGCTTACAGTGGTCTCATGGAACTTTCACTCTTCATGGGCATTCAAATCACATAGATCTCCAGTTCAGCTTTCCTACTTTGAATCTATGAACAACGTTCTCCTCAATTTAACCAATCCGATTGAGGGTTTGTTCTAAGTTTCTAACTAGCAAAAAAGTGACCAATCTAGGATATCCGCTCACAATCAATTGCTACGATACAGATGTTCCTTTTTCGCAACTGTGCTGAAATAACATTACATGTTGCATTTTTCATTGATAACTTATCCAAATGCAAGAGCTTCCCCCCACCTTTCTGCTTCGACATTATTGATTCTCTATCCACATCAACTAATACTACATAGCCGTCAAACACATACCATGCCCAATAAGTCCATACATCAGAAATGTAAAGAAATAAAAATATATATACTGGCTGCTCTATTACATGCTGCTTCTTGATGAAAGTCAGTGGCGACTCAGAAACGATCGACTCCGCTCTCTCGCCCAGGTTTCTCCAACATACACATCCTTGATTTGGTTACGCAAATTAATATACAAACTGGATACCCTTTTTAAAACCCCCCAAACATAAAAGCATACAAGGTTTGAGATACGACGATTTTCGTCCCTGCGCTATCTTTGATTATCCTCTCCAAAGTTTGTCTATGTTCACTATCCTCACATATATGATGATCTGAATATCTCTCTATACCAAACTTTGTTCTCCTACATTGGTAACAAAGCTAATTGTATAAAAGGAAATAGTAATTACAACATTTATAAAAATTACCCAACAACCTCATCACTCAAATTTAATGAAATCAAAAAAGGCAAATTATACCCCGACCGGAACCAGTAGGAAACGAACAGAGTTTTAAATGCCCTCTAATTTTCTTAATCTTTACAACAAGAAAAGGCAAATCATTGCTTAATCCCCAAAAAAATAAGCAGGGCTTTTGCCAAAAAAAAAATAGCATTCTATGATTTTCGGCGGGTAAAAAGAGAGAAAATTTAATAAAATTTAAATTACCTCTAGAATCGCCGAGGGGGGAGGGGGAGAGAGTACAGAGAGAGGCTCGAGGAGTATTGAGATCAGCGGAGGAGGGAGAAACGGGTCGGACCCTATTCGGACGCTACAAAATCCAACTGCAGGATTCGAACCCACCTAGATGTTTTTAGCCCGTGAATGGATTTGGGCTCCACGTAAGCAAAGTCTTGTATTTGTAACCGTCCGGTTTTAGGGTGTTAAAATTATCCATTTTTATTGTATATATATAGAGCAAAGTCTTGCATTCACCTGGTCCTCTCAAGTTTAGGGTGGGAGGGGGGAACCCGGGGTTTTTCTGGTCTCTCTGGCTCAGCCCGTTATATGCTCACCAGTTTGCGTCCTAATGGTCCCCACGCTGCTCGCCACTCCTGTCGGTGGGGATGAGCCATTGGTATTAAAGGTAGCTCCTTGCAAGAAAAAAGTGGGGACCAAAGGGAATCGAACCAGGGTCGTTGGCGGACTCCAAAGGAGTTATGTTGAAGCTGAGGTGACCAGGTTTCCCTTGTCAACAAAAAAAAATATAGAGCAAAAACTTGTGTCAACTTAAGTGGATAGCAAAAAGTTGTCCATCAAACTTTTTCGCTACTTATATTACCTAGGGATCCTTGCATAATATGAAAAAAAAATTATATTAATAAATGAGTGGCTAGGAAGTTTGATGGATATCAACTTAAGTTGATAAAAGTCTTTGATTTCAATGGCAGATTTGAAAATAAATACAACTTTACTACACATCAGCTGCTTTTTATTATGTAATAGGGGTAAAATAGGAACCATTTATTAGTGTAAACATAAAATAGGAACCATTTATTAGTGTAAACATTGAAATCACACGGAATAATTAACCCAGACGAATTTTTCTCTCTCCTATCAAAAGTCTAACGTCCTTTCACTTCCCACTAGCTCTCTCTCTCTTCATCTTCTCACTGTAACTCTCTCTTCATGTGTTCTCACCTAGCTCTCATCTTCTCACAATAGCTCTCTCTCTCTCTCTCTCTCTCTCTCTCTCTCCAAAAGTCACAACATTCTTTACAAGATAAAGACAAACAGAGGAAAGAAACCCGCTTCTTCAAGAAGGGGTAAAACCATTCCATGTTCAAATATTTTCTTCTTTTTGTTTTTTTTTTTTTTTGTTGACGAAAGGTTGATCTTTTGGTGGTCTTGTCGTGCTGAGTTACTGCTGCTGTGCTGTTATGCTGCTAATGAAGTGAAATTAGATTCGCTGGAGTGAATCGAAAGCCATATATATAGCTAATATTTATTTTGTTATTGTTCACAAGTTGGAGTTAATATTTATTTAATTGTTGTTCACAAGTTGGTGGTCTTGTTGTGCTGTGTTGCTATTGTTGTGTTGTTGTGCTGCTACTGAAGTGAAACTGAATACACTGGAGTGAATCCGGATTTACTCTAGTGAATCTGGATTCATTGGTTGTTTGTTGCTTCTATTTTATGAAGAGACATGCCTATGAAACAATGAATACGAAGGGATGAAGTTTCTTCCGCATCAGTGACTATTTGAAGTGAAGTGAATCGAGATTCACTTCAGTGAATCTTCAGTGAATCTCGATTCACTCAATCTCTTCAGTGAATCTCGATTCACTGAAGTGAATCTCGATTCACTACTTCAGTGAATCTCGATTCATTATAGTGAATCGAGATTCATCCATGAGAGACTTTGTTTGACAGTATAATAATAAAATTTATTATCTAATCATTGAATATCCTGCTAATTTATTGTTAAAATGGACATGATCGACAATTCAATCAGCTCAAGAGATTGAGTTCTATCTACTGTTACCAATATCTGACTGATCAAATTAACCAATTGGCTAAAGAGAAGACAATGAAAGCCCAGCAGTACCATGATGAATTTGTTAGTGTCAAACAAGGATCAAGAAAGGGTTCAAAACTGAGAAAAAATTAATGATTAGTTACTATATCTTTAAACAGTGTTACCAAATCTAAGTTTGTCGTTAACTGTTGATTAATACAAAAGTTATTTTAGTTTGTATATTTATGGATTATCATGTTCAACTCTTATTCTAATATAACTAATCTAAATTCATAACGATTAGTTTGTATATTTATGGATTATCATGTTCAACTCTTATTCTAATATAACTAATCTAAATTCATAACGATGAATCTCGATTCTATCGACAATTTATGAGTTATTTTGAATAACCATAACCTCAATATGACGCTATCTTGTTTGTATCTTTACGGTGAAGTCAAATTTGTGATTCGGTTTGTCTAAAACCAAATAAACCAAATTATCTTCCGTTTTATATGATAGAGGCATTTTTTGAATTATCGCCTCAATACGACGCTCGTACACAAAGTTATGGCCTTTCAAGGTTTCACAACTATCCAATACAATTTTTAAAATTTTTACCAAATCCGATACTGAAATGACTTGAGTTTACATCTTAGCTGCCTAAATCTAAAAATAAACAAGAATCATTATATCAATGAACATAGAATCACCATTGATGAATCAAAAACTGAATTGAGATTTAATCTATATTGAATATTATAATGTTACATCTGTACAGGTAAATTCAGATAGTGGGCAAACATAAATCAACTATTTTAGAGTTACAGATAAACAATATAAATTAATATTCAATAAAATTAATGTACAATGAATCTTAAGTGAAACAATGGATCTAATGGGATAGGTTCTCTTCATAGACTTCAGAAGACTTGCGTTTGCACGTGGATGGCATGGATGAACGGAGATTCACTACAGTGAATCTCGATTCAATGATGTGAATCGAGATTCACTGAAGTAGATTCATTTCAGTGAATCGAGATTCACTGAAGTGAAATCAGATTCATCCCGTCGTATTCATTGTTCCAGTGTCTAGTCACATAGGTTTATCAACTCCCTGCAAAAAAAAACTAAATCTGTGATTTCCAATTTAATTCAAGAGTACGTAAAACATGACTTTTACTTAAACTAAATTTGTATTTAGTTCAGTGAACATCGATAACTTATATTGAAGCTAAAATATAAGTTTGTATTTAGTTCAGTGAACATCGATTCACTTCACTTCAATTTTACATTTTACAGCAAAATTTTAAATTAGATGCCCTTCAGCAAAAGTTTTTGATTCAACAAACTTCCTATCATCAAGCTATAAAATTTTAAACCATGAAAAGATTTCACCTTTTACAGCAAAAAGTTACGATTTTTATGGTAAAAAACAAACACCTCACATAACTGAATCTGGATTCACTGCAGTGAATCTGGATTCACTGCAGTGAATCTAGATTCACACATGCGTGTCTTCGTTTTTCAACTGGTTTCTTCAAAAACAGGAAACTTTTCAGACTAAAAAGTGAAATTTTTCACTTTTTACAACAAAAAGCTATGCTCGTACACAAAATTATGGCCTATCATCAAGCTATAAATTTTTAAACCATGAAAAGATTTCACCTTTTACAGTAAAAAGTTACGATTTTTATGGTAAAAAATAAACACCTTACATAACTGAATCTGGATTCACTACAGTGAATCTAGATTCACACATGCGTGCCTTCGTTTTTCAACTGGTTTTTTAACTGGTTTCTTCAAGAAATATGAATCTTTTCAAAAAATAGGAAATTTTTCATCTTTTACAACAAAAAGCTACGATCTTTAAGGTTAAAACTAAAACTTTTAGACGAAAAATCAAACAAATTTCTTTAAGGTTAAAACTAAAACTTTTAGACGAAAAATCAAACAAATTTCATAAACTTACCATTAAAACGTCAAAATAATTTAACGATGACAAAGGTTGAAGACGGTGGTTGAAGATGAAGGTTGAAGATGAAGGTTGAAGACGAAGGTTGAAGACGAAGGTTGAAGAAGACCATTGATAGAGATGCAGTCGAAGGCAAACGTAGCATTAGATAGGTTGGGATGAGTTTTGGAGAGAGAGAGTTGCCGTGACTTTTTGGATAGGGAGATGTTGAAGAGAGACAGAGAAAAAGAGAGTTGCTGTGATTTTGGAGAGAGAGAGAGAGATATGTTATGACTTTTGGAGAACTCAACAGACACATGCATTCATTACAGTGGCAGCATGCATTCATTACAGGTGGCTGTTAATTTTACATGATTACCCTTATGCAGCTGTAATAGTATTATAATCCCAGCCATTGGATGAATCTAGATCCAATGGAGAGGATTGGTTTTTAGTTTTTAGGATAGTGAGGTTTTTATTTGAACCTCTCCCTATATATATATATATATATATATATTATGGTTATCAACTATATATTATTTATATTTATATAATATAGCAGTTAATGAAAACTCATATATATATAATTTATATATATATATATATATTATATATATATTAGTATAATAAAATAACAAATATAATCTACTATCTCTAATTACTCATATGAGTAGTAGTATATATATGAGAATTAACTGGGTATCCTTGTCATTAGGAGGCGGGATTTCCTCCTTGACGCCTCTAAAATCGCATGATTGAGCGACATATATGGAATGATCCGCTCCGTTGAACTTGATCTACCATTTCAAAATCCCAACACACCAAAGTTTGGGGTGAACCGTCCATCGTTTGACCTTCATCACGCGTATCAATTTTAACGCGTTTGAGTTAAATATAATTGAGAACTTTTGCACATGGCTCGATGGAGCCTCGTCAAACTATGGACGGATTCACCCAAATGGGAGAACGTTTTGTTGTTGGGCTGTTGATTAGATAATCATGAGATTAGATCAGTCAACGAGCGGATCATCCCCAATGAATACAGTAACATACATAAATAGATAATCTTAGAGGGCGTCTAACAGGCAGGATCCCCTACCATAGTGACAAGCGATACCCATTAATCCTCTTTTCTATGATAACTTGTGATAGAGAATATATATACTATATAATTTGATATTATATGAGTTAATGGTGTATTCCTTGTCTTAGTGGAGGAGATTTCCTCCTATGACGTCCTTCTAAAATCACATGACCTTGGCAGCGACATTGTGGATGATCCGCCTCCGTTGAACTTGATCTACATATTCTAAAAACCCACACACCAAGTTTGGGGTTGATCGCGTCGTCGTTTGACCCTCCATCGTCCAGCCATGATACCTCCTCTATTCATTTTCACAAACCGTTAAAAATTTTGATACGAGTGGCTGAAGGGTCAAACGACGACGGGTTTCACCCCAAACTTGCGGAATGTGTTTGTAGAGTTATTAGAATGATGATAATGCAAGGTGAATAAAAAATCATAATCGGAGCGGACTTATCATCCACGAATGATGGCTCAACCACCTATAGATTGTAAGCATTGTCTTAGAGGACGTCATTTTGAGGATGAAAATGCCCCTCCTATGACAAGGATACCCATTTAATCTTCAATATTTATAGTATATTATATATATATATATATAGATATATATATATATATATCATATATATATATATATGAGCTATATAGCAAAAACTTTATCATGACTATAAACTAATAAGTGGACGTCCACTAAGTTTCTTAGCCATTGATGATCACTTGATTGAGCTACATTATGGATGATCCGCTCCGTTGAACTTGATCTACATATTCTAAAACCCCAACACACCAAATTTGGGGTGAACCCGTCGTGGTTTGACCATTCATCCACTCGCATTAATTTTAACGGTTTCGAATGAATAGAACTTTTTACATGGCTTGACGGAGGGTCAAACCACGACGGGTTCACCCCAAATTTGGTATGTTAGAGTTTTAGAATATGTAGATCAAGTTCAACGGAACGGATTATCCACAATGTAGCTCAATCAAGTGATCATCAATGACTAAGAAACTTAGTGGACGTCCACTTAAGTTGACATAAGTTTCTCTATATATATAATTCTAAGCGTTAACGTTTGTGCGATTTGAGAACAGGTTTCTTAATTTCGGTATTAGAAAAACGAGTGTTGTGGATGAACTCATACTGAGAATTACATCCTCACTAAAATCCTATAAGATTTAAGGTTTAGTTGCACCTAAATGCCCCTATAGTTTTCATGATCTTGCACTTAAGTGACTTTTTCTTTTTCAAACCGAACAATAAAATGCCGCAAAATATAGGGCCTGTTTGAATCGTATAAATTTTGTGGAAAACAATTTTAGGAAACTATTTGTTGAAATTGTTTCCACTTCTCATGTTTGGTTAAAAAAAAAAAGGAAAGCAATGTAATTGTCGTAATTAATTATACAAAGATGTGAATAGTAAGTGGACCACGAAAACATGGGAAAACCAATTCCAATGAAAAAAATCACAAAAATGGGCTTTTGAATAGGAAAAGTGGATCCTATAATGTCCATGCAATTTTCGTGTTTCCATTTTTTCCCCTTAAACTTATAGAAAAACTAACCAAACAGCCCTTAGTGCTGCAGATAAATGCTCAATGTTACATATTGTTGTCCTCTTGTTTACCCATTATTACATATAAATGTCCCAAAGTTTATAAATGATCTCACTTAAATAACCTGAAATTTCTAACAGTTTCACTTTAGTACTCTCCGTTATGTGATGTAGAGAAAAATACTGTCAATATTTTTTTAACCACGGAATGTTCATCTGCAACACTTAAATATTTTAGGGGATTTTTTATTCATTTGAAATTATAGGGCATTTAAGCGCAATTAAGCCAAGATATAATAATATTCATATGGGTTAATTTCACAAAACCCTCTAAACTTTGTTTGGCTCACATAACCCCTTTGAACTTTGTTTAGCTCACATAACCCCTATGAACTATAGAATGTCCCACAGAACCACGTCACCAAACTTTAGTTTATCTCATCTAACCCCTTGTTTGTAATTTATAAAAAAACTAAAATTTTCTTAAGAGGAAAAAACTCAAACTTTAGGGGAAGGAATATATTGCCTTTAAAATGTCAGGTAATAAATTTGGAAAACTTTCATTCAAAAGACATTATAATTATTAGCAAATTACATATAGATTGTTAGATGAGATAAGTAATGTTCACGGGGGTTTTGTGAGGCATCCCATAGTTCAGAGGGGGTTATGTGAGATAAACAAAGTTTAAGAGTGTTATGTGTAAAACCACTCAAAGTTTAGTTTTTTTTGTGATTCATATCTATGTATCAAAAGACTTCATTGTGACGTGGGCCTAATTGGTCTAGCACTATCTACTTTCGGTATATTGCACAATTATAGTCTTGATCCCTAGCATCTTTAGCACTATCTACTTTTGGTATGTTGCACAATTGTAGTCTTGATGCCTAGTATCTGTGAAGCTATTGTACAAAAAAAAAAAAAAAGAGGCTTCGGGAAGGGGGGAAAAAAAAAAAAAAAAAAGAGGTTTGAGTTGAGTAAAGTGCGATTTGATAAAAAACTAAAAAACAAAACAAATCACTTGCAGAGTTCAGATAAAAAGGTTTTTATGAGATTTAACATAGAATTAATTTAAAAATTAAACACAGTTACGTCAAGAAATCCAAATCCGGGGACCGGGGGTGGACTGTAATACTTGAACTATAAAAGTTAAGAGGGAAACGTGTTTATACAGCCCCCTTCTTGGGGGATTACGTAGCCCCTCATTAAAAATATTCCGGATCCGATAAATAAAACAAATATCCGATAGAGCGGTGGGTCTGAACTATTTCAACATAATACCCGGACTATAAGGAAAATGAACATAGCCTTAAGAAAAAGAACAAGATTAAGAAAACGAAGAATGAAAAAAGAAAAGAAAAAAGGAAAGAAAAGAAAAAGCGGAAAGAAAGGGTGAAAAAAAAAGAGAAAAAGGGGCAAAACGAGGCCTAAAATGGAAAAAAGAAAGTGATAAATACACTCCCATCAGCGCTCAACCGCTTCACAGACTCTGTCCCTCGGCTATAAATGGCAGCCGCGCTTTAAAAGCTTTTTGCTCACCGGAGGGAGCGACGGCGTCCTCACGCAGAGCGAGGGAAGGAAAACCCCGCGAAAATCTAGGGTTTTTTTCCGGCTCGAAACCGCAAAAAAAAAAAAAAAAATCCGATATTTATCTCGTAATATCTTCTTCCGTTCGTTATTTAACGGAAAAAATCGCCAACCTTTTCTGCTATCAGTCCCAGCGTCGTCGCTGGAGTTTTCCGATTAAAATAGGTATTTTTTTAATCAATTTTACTTTTAATTTCGTTTTTACACTGCTTTTCTAAATTATGTATGATCTCACATTGTCCATATAATGCCACGCGTTCAAATTATTTATTTTGTAAATGCGGCGGGGGGTCAAAAGGGCTTTTTTTTTTGCATCACAAGGAAAAATTAGGGTTTTTGTTGAATTGTTTTCCGGTTAACAGGTATTTTTCTGTCGTTTTCTTTTGTTAACAATGTTTCGGGAACGATATCTGACCTCACATTGTCCGCGTAATGCCATAAATTTTAGTTGTTTATTTGTTATTTGCGCCACAGGAGAAAAAGGGGTTTCGGGAATCACAGGCGAAACTTTTTAGGTTTTTTGTTGAATTACGGATTCAAAAATATCACGGGCATCAGCCATGAAGATTATCAGTTTGTGTGAGCAAACCTTTAGCTTTGATCACGCTTCGTTTGTTTTCCAATTGAAAATCTCAGGAGAAGATGTCATTTCCCCCCCTACCCTTGTGTAGAGCAGGGCTGAAAGCATGATTTGAGGGGTGTAAATGATTTCAAGTTATCCCACTGAACTAAATGGGTTAGAATAAAGTCTATCATATTACCTCCTTATCACTCAGATTCCCTAGTTTTGGGGAAAAAATTAAAGAACACACAGCAGATAAACCTTCTCTTACCCAAGATCAACCAACAGAAGAAGAACAAACCAGAAACCACTCTTATGAAGGCTAAAAATGGAGTCTTTACAAAAAAATGAGCACGGAGGCTACAACTTGGGGCTATTCATTTTCTAACAGACTAAAACACTTGAGATAAGGACCAAAGAAAATTCTAGACACACAAGGATTCTAGAGACCTCTAGCTGCTGTTACATAGAGACCAGAAACTATTAAATGCATGTCTACAACAAAAAGCACAAAAGAACTTTTTGCATATTCCAAAAAGAACTTTAAACTCAACACTCCCCCTTAAAGTTATTTTTGGAAATCAGTCCCAGCTTTGCACGAAGAAACTCAAATGGTCCTTTAGAGAGAGTCTTTGTGAAGATGTCTGCAATATTGAGCTCACTTCTTACTTCCCTGTTGTTAATTGTTCCATCAAGAACCTTCTCTCTGATAAAATGATGCTCAATCTCAATATGTTTAGTTCTAGCATGACACACTGGATTATAGGCAAGCTTGATTGCACTTTGATTATCACCAAACAAATCTGTGGCCTTGATAATTGGATGATAAACATCCTTGATGAGTCTTCGAAGCCAAACACACTCCTGTGCAGCAAGTGTAGCAGCCTTATACTCTGCTTCAGTTGTGGATAAAGCCACTGCATCTTGTTTCTTGCTACACCAAGAAACACTTGTACTGTTGCACATAAACACATAACCAGATGTAGACCTTCTATTGTCTAAATCTCCAGCAAAGTCAGCATCTGTATAACCATTTAGCTCAAAAACACCACCTCTTTTGTAAAACAGACTAAGATCAATGGTAGAGTTAACATACTTGAGAATCTTCTTTGCTGCTTCAAGATGTGACTTCCGAGGCTCTTGCAAATAGCGGCTTATGAGTCCAACTGAGAAAGCAATGTCTGGCCTAGTAATTGTCAAATACAGAAGACCACCAACAAGAGAACGATAAGACTTGAAATTTGGCAAGAGTGACCCTTCATCCTTCCTTAATTTCTCATTTGTATCAAGAGGAGTAGATCGTTTCTTGCTAAGTTTCAGCCCATATTTTTCAATCAACTTCTTAGCATATCCTTCTTGTGATAGCAGAACACCCTCCTTAACATTTTTCACTTCCAAACCAAGAAAATGGCTCAGTTCACCCAAGTTCTTCATATCAAACCGAGTAGATAGTTCAGCCCTTAGCTTTGCAATCTCATCTTCATTGCTTCCAGTCACTATCATATCATCCACATACAAAAGAACCACCATATGCAAGTCTCCATCCTTTTTAACAAAAAGACTTGGATCTGCATCAGACGAATGATAGCCACAAAATTGCAAAAACTCTGCAATCTTCCCATACCATGCTCGAGGAGCTTGTTTTAGCCCATATAAGGCTTTCTTGAGTTTACACACATACACTGGATGAGAATCTGATAAGTACCCCAATGGTTGTTCCATGTAGATATCCTTGTCAAGGTCTCCATATAGAAATGCGTTTTTAACATCGAGCTGCCACAACTTCCAATTTTGAGAGGCTGCCAAAGAAACCACAACACGAACAGATGTCATCTTCGCCACGGGACTGAAAGTTTCTTCATAATCTTCTCCGTAGCTTTGAGAGAAACCACGAGCCACCAATCTCGCTTTAAATCTGTCCACACTTCCATCAGCCTTTCTTTTCAACTTGTAAACCCATTTACATGTAATTGGAGTCACATGATCAGGTTTTGGGACAAGATCCCATGTCTCATTTTTAACGAGAGCCTTCATTTCCTCCTCCATAGCAAGCCTCCACTCTTCAACACCAGCAGCATCTTCAAAACAAGATGGTTCTTGATCATCAACTGGGCCTGTAAAGAAACAAGAATAAGTGCTTGTGAAATTTTCATCTCGGTACCGTGCTGGCTTGGTGATATTTCTTCTTGGCCTTTGATTTGCTTCATCATCAACATTACCATCTTCTGGAACAATACAATCTTCAACTTCATTTTCAGAATTAATGCTCCCCCTTTCACCTTGCTGCAAATTATCAAATGAAGGCAAACTAGAACCATTTGAGGAAGTTGGCAGCACGACAATTTCAGATTTTTGCAGACCTGACTCTCCACTGTTAGCAACACCATAGTATGATGAAACTTCATCAAATACAACATCTCTTGAGACAACAAAGTTGTGAGTTTCTGGATCCATGCATTTCCATCCCTTTTTTCTTTCATCATAGCCAATAAAAATGCATTTTTTCGCCTTTGCATCAAACTTCCCTCTTCTGGAGTCCGGCACATGAACATAGCATATTGAGCCAAACACTTTGAAGTGCTTTACACTAGGCTTCTCTCCGAACATCAGCTCATAAGGTGTCTTCATATTGTTTGGACTCAAAGGCAACCGGTTAATCACATAGGCTGCACACATCATACCCTCTGCCCAAAAACCTTTAGGCAAGTTTTTAGCATGTAACCAGCTTCTACATGTCTCTGTGAGATGCCGGATCTTCCTTTCAGCGATGCCATTTTGTTGTGGAGTCTCTGCACATGACAATTCTCTTCTTATCCCAAACCGTCGACAAAAGTGCAAGAACTCATTAGAAATAAATTCTCCACCATTGTCGGTTCGCAACCGCTTAATTTTTAAGCCAAGAACTCCTTCAACATTCTCTTTGAACTCTTGAAACTTGAAGAAGGCATCTGACTTGTGTTTAATACAATAGACCCATGTGAACCTTGAATAGTCATCAACAAGAATCATCAAATAACGGAAACCAGAGAAAGAGGGAGTTCTAGTGGGACCAAACAGATCACCATGAATACATTCCAAAGGAGCCTTGGTTCTAGATTGAGAGATTCCAAATGGAAGGCGATGAGACTTTCCGAATTGGCACCCTTCACATGCTTCTTTGCTGGGAAAAGATGTCAAACTTGGCAGGCCATTCACCAAATTCTTTCGAACCATAGCTTTCAACTTATCAAAGTTCACATGCCCCAATCTAGCATGCCACAATGATGCATTCTCATTGCAACTTACTTTATCAATATAAGATGAAGAGGCAGACAACACAAAAGTATCCTTCACCCTTCTACCAGTATGCATGACATCTGCCTTTATATACTTAACATTTTTAAGAAATTTAACATCATGTGGCCCAAACAAGACATTATAACCAGCATCCACAGCATTTGGAACTGAAAATAAATTTTTCTTCATTCCAAGAACGTGGAAAACATTATTTAAGGTGATAGAGTCGTTACCTCCATCATTGATGACCACCGTGCCTTCATTCTCAACCTTGTGAACTGTATTGTCTGCTGTCACCATAGCTTCATTGCCAGTATGTGGCTGTAATATGGAGAACTTTGATTCATCACCTGTCAAATGATGGCCACAACCGGAATCCACAATCCAATCATTCTGAAAATTAATGGAAGCCATGGCATTGTGAGTTGCCGATTCCACCAGAAAACACTTTCCCCAGCTGTCTTCATTGTCACCACAACTTGAGTCACGAGAGCCACCATTCTTCCTGGCGTAGTTTCCAGAATTAAGCTTCACGGTGCAGAACCTTTTGATGTGACCAGGTTTACCACATCGATGACACTTGAACTTCTTCTTATAATACGAGAAAGATTCACCTGGTCCATCATTGTCATGCTTCTTAACCTCCTTCTTCTCAAATCTGAAATTCCTTTTTTTATGAGCAGAGAGTGCTTCTGTGTTGTTGGGGTTGTCTGATATTGACATCCCAGCCATCTGTCGTGCTAAAGACTCTTGAGAAGACAAAAGGTTCTCGAACTCTTCCAGAGAGGGCTGCCGATCCCATCCTTGAATCGAGGTAACAAAAGGAGTGTACTCTTTCCTCAGCCCACGAATAATATGCCTTCTCACACGAGCTTCAGAAATAGGTTCATCTGGATCCAAGATTGAAATCTCCGAACACAAGTTTTTAATCTTTAAAAAGAATTGGGAGATTGAAAGATCACCTTGGCTTGAATTTGCTAGCTCATTCTCCAACATTTGCAGACGACCAATATCTTTCTTGTTGAATAGCCTGTTGAGAGTCTCCCAAATATCTTTTGCTGAGGTACACCTCATAATATGATCGAACAAAGCAGGAGATATAGACTTCTTTAGCACAAACTCTGCCTTTGCATTCACTGTCGTCCACTTCTTCAATGCTTCAGCATTTTCTGCATTCTCCTCTGGCCTGACTGCATTCGCTCCACCAACAACAGCCCACAACTCTTCACCAACCAAATAAGACTCCATACAAGATTTCCACATCTTGTAATTTGATTGGTTGAGCAGCTCTATGCCAAGACCGACGCTCCGACTCGACGACTCCATCTCTTCAGCAACACTGGTTGATCTTCTTCACCAAGCAATTAACACTGCACCTGCTCACCCTGGGGCCTTGGGGCTCTGATACCATAAAGAACACACAGCAGATAAACCTTCTCTTACCCAAGATCAACCAACAGAAGAAGAACAAACCAGAAACCACTCTTATGAAGGCTAAAAATGGAGTCTTTACAAAAAAATGAGCACAGAGGCTACAACTTGGGGCTATTCATTTTCTAACAGACTAAAACACTTGAGATAAGGACCAAAGAAAATTCTAGACACACACGGATTCTAGAGACCTCTAGCTGCTGTTACATAGAGACCAGAAACTATTAAATGCATGTCTACAACAAAAAGCACAAAAGAACTTTTTGCATATTCCAAAAAGAACTTTAAACTCAACAAAAATTGCGGGTTGCTATTTGGACAGGCGAATAGAATTATGTTCCCTACTGGCCATTGTGTTTGGGGTGGGTTCCTACATTTTCTTATTCATGCGATAGCTAGATGGAGAAAAAAAAAGTTTCAGTTCCTAGACAATTACGCATCATATAGGAGAAGGATGGTTTATCAATTATCATCAATGCTTTGAGTAAATAGATAGCTACTTATGACCTCCAAGCGTGCATTTTCCATGGTATTAACGGCTCTTACCATGTTTGTTTGCTCCGTCAACCTTCATGTACTCTTGATCCTCATCAAACAGTGTCAAAAAGCTCAACTGCCCATTGACTTGTTTATTTATTTGGTTCTGAGGGTTGTTTGATGTGAACTCTTGACTTGGCTTGCAGGTATCTTGTGACAATGAATGACTGAGTAGGCAATATGTATGCTTGTCATTTGGATATTTGTAGCTCTCTCTTCGCAAATACTTGGAAACATGGCTAAAGTTTTTTGTTACTTCTACAGAATCAAATATTATTCAGCTATCAGTTCCCGTTCAAGAACAGCAGGATTGTTCCCAGGGTCTTTTCTAGTAAAGAGAAAGTAGTCTAGTATAAGTTATACAACCAAAAATCAGCTTGAGGCCAAAAAGTTTGGACCAGATGGCTCTCATTTCTGAAACACTTATTTCAGAGAAACAACATGAGAAATCTTTTGTATCAAGGCTTACTTCTCTAACCATGGGGCTTTCTGCTGTATCGTCAGGAAGAACATACTCGTTACCGGTGTTATCAGTTTCTGATTCAGCTACTTCATATTCAGATGAGCATGTGATTGACATGCCAACCACTGATGTAAGTTTGTCATAATTGCTGCTTCTGACCAACACATTACTTAGTTTGTTGAGCAGGGTGTAAAATTACAAGTTATATTGTAGATAATAACATTATTTTCGCCAGTTTTTTTATATGACAGTGTACAAAACACATTAATTTCAAATTGTAAAGGAGTTGTTTGATATAGTAATGATAGCAGTGCAATCAACAGATGCATGTCCTGTACTCAGCATATTTTCTAATAGATGCAGAAAATAATTGCAATGCTTGCTCGTGTGAAGATTGATACAGCTTGAAACCTGGCTGCATGACCATAATAAATCAACCAAATGATAGACCCAGAGTACATCACAGTAAGGTCGAATACTTAAAATAAGACCATGGAAAAATATTCGCTAATAAGATTCAATCACCTGTATAACTCGAGATCTTTCTTCGACCTGGATTTTCTCTGTAATGGATGCAAAACCAAGTAAAATTCTCAACACAATACCCTCAAATAGGTCATCGTTTAAAACCAGAACCTAACTGCCCGTAACTTAACTATTTAGTTCAGACATGTCTCAAAAGGAACATTGCTCTATCTACCTGAAAATAAGCTTATAACTGTGAAATCCTATTTACCAAAAAAAAAAAAAAAACTGTTTGTATCATGTTTGCCGTAATGAAGAAAGGCTACCCAGGTGTACAAGTTCCTACGATCATATTAGGGTGTCATATTTGACTTGTGTTGAAACTTAAAACTTAAAATAAGGTCTAAGTTAATTTTTATACACAAAAATTAACTATATTTCTCATTCTTGCCCATGTGTCTTATCTGTCAGTCATGCAACTGTTATCTCGTTTTGTCCAATGGGATTTAAGTTCAAGGCATAATCTCTATAATTTTGCACATGTCCAATATTTTGTCTGTGGTAGTCTGAAGCTGATTATGTAGATGATACTTTTAGCGTTTTCACTAGAAACAATTTAATTTACATCTATGAATCTGCAGTTGATTGTTGTTCATTTAACAGGGACAAGGACAGAAGCATATTAGGCGCTCATTTTCTGCACCAATAAGTTTGAGTTGTAGTACAGAGCATGCAGATTCATCAAGACTTGTCCGGGTGATTCTGACAAGCCCCCATTCTGGTCCTACTACTGCTGACAGTATTACACTGAATAGTGTTATACAAACAAGTGACGGTACTTATTTTCTTTGATCGTCTGTCTCTCATATATTTATTCATTTGTTCATTACTTAAGTCTTAAATAATTGCATATTTTACTTCCTGAGAGGCTTTTTTTGGCTGATTTTGATATCAAGAACTTATCCCTACGTCAGTACTTGTTGACAGTGCATGTTGCTAGAATTACGTTTTGAAAGCTGCACATTGAATATAATGCACACTGTCAATTCTCTTTGGTGTTGTTCCTTTTAAGTTGTGGTTAATTCTTAATCTGGAATAAATTTACTAATATTTATCTTGTTCTATTACTATGCAGAATCTGAAGGTACAAGCACTTTCGAGGAAAAGGCAGTCTGTCGAATTTGTTTAGCCGATCTTGAGGAGGGTGGGGAGACACTTAAAATGGAGTGTAGCTGCAAAGGTGAACTTGCACTTGCACACAAAGAGTGTGCCATAGAATGGTTTAGCATTAAAGGAAATAAGACATGTGATGTCTGTAAGCAGGATGTTAAAAATCTTCCTACATCTTTACTGAAAAGGCATAATAATCAGACTGCCAGGAGATTGCGACTAGATGCTTCACAGCAAGATGAAGTTGCTCAATACAGGTACAGAAGGCTATGGAAGTTTTCCCTCGTGCTATTTACATTGATCCTCTACTTGTCATGTTCATGCTGTTTTCTTCTGCAAGTTTGTGTCTTCTGATCTACCTGCATGGGTATCTCACCAGTCCATGCCCGTCAGTGAAAATACATTTCTGAGGCATCTACTTTCACACTGACATTTTGGAAGATGCTTCTTCCATCTAGACATTAGAAACTTTATCTAGCATAACCTTTTAAATTTCATTTAGGTTGACTATGGACCCACATTGACGGGGAACGGAAAATAGACCGGAAAAAAATTCCACCATAAGCAGTAAACGAGCGTATTTGGGTGAACAGTAACTTTCTCTTTTTTGGGGAGAGAAATCTAAGAAACCAAAAGATAAATTAGGATAGACTGGATTCACTCACAGCTAGGCCTGTCCATTCGGGCTGGTCCGGCTCGGCTTTGAAATCCGGGTCTGGGCCCGGCGAAACTGGTGGACTGGACACGGACCGGGGGTGCCTTGGCGTGGCCCGGGTTCGGGCCAAACCGGCCCAACCTGGATTTTTATGTTTTTGTTTTTTTTATTTTTTGGTAAAAAATTGCTAAAAAATTATATTAATCTTATTATATTTATATAAGTATGTATTGGTATATTATATACTTATAAGTTATAACTTGAGAGAGAGAGAATCACAGAAGTATATATTACTTATTTATAAATGCGTATTATATAGTTATATATGTATTTGTTACATATTTACATTATGCTTAGTTAAGTACAGTTATACGCTTTACTTATATGATATGCTTTTATATATACTAGCTGTGATATACTTATATGTACTTATACTTATGTACTTATATATACTTATATAACTGTAATTCTTTAGTATACATATATAAGTATACTTATAACTACATTATATATATTTATATACTTAAATCTTAGTATCCATACCATTCTAAGAGTATATATGTGTGTGTGTGCGCGCGCGCTTATATATACTTATATAACTGTAATTTTATAATATACATATATAAGTATACTTATAACTACATTATATATATTTATATACTTATATCTTAGTATCTATACCGTGCTAAGAGTATATATATATATATATATATATAAAAATATATATAATATATAAAAATATATAAATATAATAACCAAGCCAGGCCGGGCTCGGACTTCACCAAGATAACCCGGGCTCGGGTCAGGTTCGGGTCCGACGGGGTCCGGGCCAGACACCGGGCCGGGCCCAGGCCTTGGGCCCAAATGGACACCCCTACTCACAGCATCAAACTTATGGATAAATGGCTTCACATCTAGAGGAATCACTCCAAAATTCTCACGTAACCATAATTTTTTTCATCAATCAATGTCTATTCCTCATAGAGGATTACATCTTGTTTATCGAAAAAAACTAGTACTAAGGATAGCATCATATCCTAAAATCTTATCTAATAAAACTGAAAATCAAACGTAAGTAAATATCTAACAAATATATCTGAAAAGATAAGTTCCCAAACTATTAATCCCTTTCAACTAAAATAAAGTCTCCTAAATTAAGACTAGACAAAATCCTAACTATATTACTAAGCAGAATCAACCCAATCTTTATTTGTCCTACATCATACATGTTGCGCAATTTTTTTTGTAAAAAAATTAGAAACTTCTAAATGCACTGCGCTCCGATTATGTCAGCACATTTACCTAGTCAGTCAATATACATCAGTAGATGTTTGTTTCTCATAAGTCTACTTTAATTCTTTAACACTGGCAGTTGGCAACATTCTTCTCTTGTGTAGCCACAGGGAAATTTCATATCTGTATTTATTTAAACTTTAAAGTTGATTGTTGACTTATATATGTCATGTATTTACTTGAACTTTAGAAATTTCTATGGTATTAGAGGCATTTATCCCAGGTGTAGATGTACTAAGGGTGCTTCAGACATGATACGTTAGCTATATTCTAATGTATAATGGTGGCATTGGTTGCTTTATACAAGTGTCAGTTTCTTCTTTAAAAAAATAAATAATATCATTACTTCATAAAAGAAGAGAAAAAATTACAAAAACCATGATCAACCATAAGAAAGAGGTGAATCTATTGACAAGATCAGAGTTACCTCAACAAGCGATTCAAACGTCTCGCCTTCAAAGGTATTCACAAGTTTACCTTTTGCTAGGGTTTCTCTTTTAATAGTCACACAGAGTTCTGATGGCCAACCTATTGTGACTCTTAGTCATATATATATAGACTGGTAAAAACCCTAGGTAACTTTTGCGTGGGATCCTAAGGGATCTTTAACTCTACAGTAGTGGGCCCACGTCCCTTAGGCATCAGCAGCCCATTTGATTTCTAGGAAACCTTTTTTGCTTTAATTTCTTTCAAGTCTTATGTTATAAGAATCTTAGAACTGCCACTAGTTACAATAATATCCATCAATATATGGTAACCAACCTCTGTAAAGATGAGAAAATACAACTGAGGCCCCTGTTAATATAATACTTTGCTAACTTGTCCTTCTACCATGCATATCCCTCATGAACCATTTTGGGACAAAATAGCGTCATTGTCAAATCCCAGTTCATGTTTTCCAACATTATGATTTTCATTCAATTGGACTCATGAAACCTTTTTCAGAAAAGATCATATATAGACATAATTTATAATATAAGAAAAACATTTTGGAAATACACTGGTCGGATTTAAATTGAGCCCATAGTTTATTTGAAAATCGTTGGAAGATCTCCTCTCAAAAAGAGAGTGGCAGTTCCTTTGTTGAGCATCCAATATATGATCTATTTACTATGTATACAACCTAATGTGCCTGCACTTAGCTTTTATTATTGAGCATCAACAATTTGCACATTAAAGTTACATAAGCACCAAATAAAATATATTGATCTCTCAGGTCTGAGGACAATTAGCAAATTGTACAAATACTCATGCACTGACTGTAAGGTATCAATATATGGATACAGTTTCGTGTATGTATCACTTACATTACACCCATGTGTATGCTTACAGTCAACACCTCAATAGCATAGTCAAGCTATTATGAATAATTCATCCCAAGTGTAGGCTTTGAGAATATGTCGCTCAATTAAATTCACAGCTTAGAACAAATTTTGGGTCTACAAGGTGCTGGCAAAACTATTAAGTCTTGCTTATGATTCATTAATTATAGAACAGTTCTCCGACAATGTTATCACAGGGCTTTATTTATCAACAACAAATATTTAACAAGAAGTAAATAAATATTGAAATTCACCCACTGAAATGTTGCATGTGTAACAAAATCAACAATCATAATTATTCATCAAATAAATATGATAAATTGGTTTTTGAGGGCAAATGTCTAACAATAAGTTGGCCTGTTTGCTCTCCTTTTGTTTCATTCTGATCGGTTGCATGTTTTAAGGCTTGACGATTTTGAGGAAGTGAGCTTTCGACCCATATTTGATTACTACACATCTTGGATAATGAAGATCGATGAGAATGTCCGCTCCTTCCCTCTGCTCGTAGATGTCTCAAAATCATTGCTAAACTCCTTGTTCACATGGTTAGGTCTTTACATAGGAGCTTCTATAGCTCTGACTGATGCTTGGTGAAGAATCCCCTCAGCTTATTATATTTGATTCATCTGTTTTAACCTTTTTTCCCCCCAGACAGCCAGGCGTTAGCACTCAGCAGTCTATCTCTTTCCAGATTTATTTCCTTTTAGTTACTTTTTCTGGGACTTCAGTCTTCAGATGTTCTTTCATCCATTTTACTACCTATTCTTGAGTGTTGCTAGTCACTCTTTTCTTGTATGATCATGTACAATTGTTACCTAAATTGCTCCAGCCCGCTTCAAGTTGTGGTCTGCTTCATGCATTTTGATTTATGGTATGTTCTGATCACTAAAATTGGTGAAATAAGTAGGAATGACTAATGACTCAATCGATTCGACAAGTTTAGTCTATTGGCCTTATTCTAACAGACTTCGTAGCCATTTTTATGTCCTCTTAATATTGTCATGTACAAATCCGATCACGACAGTAAAATAGTTTATATTTCTCACAGAGTCTGGCAGGACGTACCGGTTCTAGTTTTGGTTAGCATGCTTGCCTATTTCTGTCTCCTGGAGCAACTATTGGTAAGTAATCTGCTTGTTCTTTTAGTGGTCCATAGCCAATATTCTTTAACTGTCCATGGATGTCATATTTCGGTCTTCTGCAATATTTGTAACTTTCCAATTGCAATCTAACAGGTTACAGAAATGGGCACACATGCTCTTGCTTTAGCTCTACCTATATCTTGCATTCTGGGTTTTCTTTCATCCATGATAGCTTCTATAGTGGGTAAGCTGCTACTGTTGATTCGTCTTATCATATGATTTATTTTCTCTTTGCCTTTACTTATAGGTGTTCAAGTAAATAAAACAATATAAGAGGCAACAGCACACTATTAGACAAGCATGAATTTTACATGCACTACATGTGTACATAATGTGTGTGCGTGTTCACATAGACATAGCGTCCAAGAACATACACCTATATATCATAATAAAGAATTTGTGTCGAGATAGAGATCATGTCTGTAATGTAATTACTAGCTTCTTCTTTCATGCTTCAAAATGCTTTACTGCTTTGCTACCCAGATGTAGTCTTGCTCTAACGTAATTACTAGCTTCTTTCAAAAAGTGTTAATTTTGACACTAATCTAGTTTCCAGTAAAGCTTTATTACAAAGGTCTAATCTTGCTCTAATCCAGTTACTAGTTTCTACATTCATGGTTAAGAAAGTACAATATTTTCTTACACAATCTAGTTTGCATAACACATACCCCTCCTACTCCCGTCTCCTTTTATCCTTTGTGGGCAAAAGGCAGTTGTTTCCCCTATTTCTCCAGAAAGAATATAAAATTGTCCTTTCCAAATCCTGAAGCTGGTTCATGGAGCCTTCAGCTTCCAAACTTCCTTCTCATTATCTGTCTATTTAGAAAAATTTCACTCATTACTTCGAAGTGATATTTTTTCTACAAGATGCACTGTCAAGTCATCATCAAAAGAGTAGCATGACTACAGTTGATTCTTGTTTGAAGAAAGCCAAGAAATCCAGGGCAAACATGAGGCTTCCATAGGAAAAATGAAGTTGACATCCGCAATCCCGAGAACTACATTTTAACGGATTTTAACTTACTACAATATCAGTGACTTTGTTTTTGCCAACTTTCTTATATTCCCTAAATTAAATGCATTTTATTGAGATTCCCGATTGTAATTAAATTTAGTCTGCCAAATCCTTTACGATGTTTGAATAGGGGCCTAATTTCAAAGGCATAAATGACTTAGGGGTCTAATTTCAAATGCATAAATGATTTGGGGGCCTAATTTCGTACAATAATGGTGTGATTTCAAGCGACTTAACTGATTTGGGGTTCTAAATTAGAAATTCGAAGAGTTGGAAGTGTAATTCAAAATATTTATTTCAGGATATAATCAGTAAAAAGCCAAACAAAAAACAATATGCGTATGACCTGATACATTTTCTCAACATTTTACTTTATAGATGTGGAGCCAAGCATGGAAGTATATATCCTTCTGTTTCCCTCTTGACCGTTGTATTTTGGATTTCTTTTGCTCATAATTAATGTTCTGTGTCATGATGAACCCTTCTCAGTTAGCAGGAGTCACATCTGGGCTTATGCATCAATACAATTTCTGATTGTCATATTGTTTGCACATATCATGTATAATATGGTATGTATTTTGTTTCTTCAATATATTTCTAGTAAGGCGAAGTTAATTACTTTGCTTCTTCCAAGGAATTAATTGAAATAATCATGTTACAGCTCAGAGTAACTCCTGTGCTTGCTGTCCTCCTCTCATCATTTATTGGCTTTGGAATCAGTATGAGTGTGAATTCTTTAGTTATGGAGTATTTGACATGGGGTGCAAGGCAATTTCTTCAATCTGCTCGTCAACAAATTACAAATAGGCAGAATGAACAGTCAAGAGAAAGCCCTGAGACTGAGAATGAGGACCCTGCTGGACAACAAGAGGCTCAGAGGAATGCTCAACGCACACAGACCTCAGGATGAAGGTGAAGTTTGCTTCGGTGTAACTTTATCTAAGGTGATTATCCATAAGTCTTAGGTAGTCTTTTTGAATTTCAGCCTATTGTGCCTCCCTCATGTTTGGTGCTGCTCCCTATATCAATATTGACTTGGTTACCATCACTTAGTTATTTTTAGCTGTGTCCAATTATTCATATACTTTTCATGACTTGAATTGAAATACTAAGCCAGTTCATATATGTTACTGCATCATTAGGAAATTCTTAGATTATGTGAGATCAACTTAACCATGCCACCTACTGTCTATTTGAACGAAAGACCTTACCGGTCTGATCTTTAAGTCCCTTTTATCTTCATTTTTTATATGCAACAATACCATTTCTGTTTGCAACAACCCTGGACTCTTTACCAATTATTCTTATACTTTTCATGACTTGGGAGGAGTCTAGGATCTTCTTCATGATGATGGCATCGTCATCAAGTAAAAGAAAGGAAATTACTTTTTCAGTTCAAAGTTTGATGTCTTCTTGTTACCTCTGTGATACATTTGCTAAAGAGTCTAGGGTTACATTTGTTTGCGTCGAAAATTGTTGTATTCATTGCGGTATTCATTACAACTTCGATCGTTACAATGAAAACAAAAAAAAATTGTCTTTTTATTAGACTTTTACACAATGAAAACAAAAGTTTACAACTCTCGTCAAAACAAACGCAGAGGACGTTTATCACCCGCTTCTTTGCGTGAGATCTTTGCCTGTGCCGGGGTTTATCCGTGGACCGCCTTAGATCTGGATCCGGTTGATGGAAAATTCGGCAGAGTTTCGTCTTCACCGAGGAAGTATTTGATTTGAAGCGCTGAGATCGACCAAGCGAAATCAGGGCTCTTCTCGAGATTAAGACCAAGCCTAATCTCAAGGGACGGACGGGAACGGGCGTCGGATCTTTCGAACTCTCCTTCTTTATGCCGAAGAACTCGTCAAGATCTGTCAACCCTCGCTGAAATTCGTGCTCCTTTGACGTCACAATCCGGCAGCACCTCCTCGTCTTGATAATCAATCGCCCCCTCTGAAAGGAGGCCCTAGGTTTGTATTTATAGGGCTTCGGAAGCGGTTATTTAGATGAGAACAAGTGATTTGGCTCTATCTTCAGTTAACAACAGCCTAATCACGTTTGGGGATGATATCAGGTCAGTTAGAAACCCCTGGAACCAACAAATCTCAAGAAAAACCATCAAAAACCGAACCGGGTCAAAACAGTGCGCGCAGGACAAGTCTGACCCGCGCTTGCGCGGGTCGGCGCGGTCCGACCCGCGCGGCCGCGGGTCGGACGTGGCCGACCCGCGCCACCCGCTCGCGCAGGTCAGTTTGTTCTGTCCTGCGCTCGCGCAGGTTTGTTGATTTTTTTCTTCTTTTCCGTTCTCTTTCTTCGAGACTTGTCCTTTCGCGTGTTTGGTTCGCTTCGTTGATTTATATGCTTTGAGTTGATTGACGCGTGCGTGTTGATTGACGCATGCGAGCTGATTGGCGCGCGCGAGCTGACTGTCAAGCGCGCAGGTCACTTGATTCGCCGTTTTGCTTCAGGCGCTTGTCGGCGTCAGATAATCCTCTTAGACTCGGATAACAATGTTCGTCGTCTTCTCTCTGTCTCGAGCTGTGTGTGGATACCTATAGGCATTTTTAGACGCCTACAGATACCCCCTCCAAAGTATTCCAGACTCATTCTTTTATTGAGGAGTCTGGAATGCTTTGGATAAGATAGGCCATCTCCTCAATTTCGTAGAGTGACCTTGAACTATCTCAATTCTTAACTTCTTCAGTCTTCAATCTATTCATTGTTTTGTCGAATAGGTGAAGTTCTTCCGGCGCTGCGTTTATCGTCTGACCGTTGTCGAAATCTTGAACTGAGATTGGTGTGTAAGTTTCTGAACTTAGCTCGTGCCATTGAGTTGACTTTGAACTAATCCTCTCCATCGGGAATTCATATCTGATTGTAACTAAAATCCTTGGAGTCATCTTTTGCCTTATTTTGGCGAAATTGCTGATGCGTTGACCGACATCGATCTTTACTGTAACGCGTTGACCGGCGTTAACATAGTTTATATTCGTACGTTTGCTGGAGTCTACACAGTTTAAGCTCTTAAGGCATTGGAGCGTGAAGGTCCCGAATGTTGGGCTGTAGGATCAACTATTAAAGCTGATCCATCTGCACATGTGGATCTTATCCTGAAGTTTGTTGGATGTTCAAGTCATGAGACCAACTAATGAAGCTGATACGTCAATGACTCGCATTTATAGAATTTTTGGTAAATTCTCAGCCATCAACGGGTTTGATAAGCCTTTACCGACTACCGTTTGAGTCGGGCTAGCATGCGGATTGTTTAAGTCCGTTCCGCATGTAACGTTATGCTAAAAGAGTTAACTCTTTTAGTGCTACGATATTGAATACGTAGACTTCGTCTTTCTCCTGTGAAAAGACTAAACAGCGACGTGTATCAGACGTAGACTTTAAGGTTTTTGGCAAACCCTCAGCCTTCAACGGATTTGGCGTGCCTTTACCGATTACCGTTTGAATCGGGCTTGCATGCGGATTGTTTAAGTCCGTTTCGCATGTGACGTTGTGCTAAAGGAATGAACTCCCTTAGACTTGATGCTACGATATTGAATACGTAGACTTCGCCATTGTTACGGGAATAGGCTACCCGGCAACGTGTGTTAGATGCTGGCCTATCCCTACTTAGGCTTCGGGATAAAAGTCCCCAGATTGGAATTCTGGTGTCTTCTTCAATCGGTGAAAGACTAAACCGGCAACGCGTGTTAGGTGTTGACTTATCCTTACTCAGGATTCGGGATAAAATTCCCTGCGCGTGTGAGGCGCGGATTTTGGCGTTATTAGTAACGGCCTGCCACAATGTCGAATATGTGGGTTTTTTGTCCTTTTCACGGCAAAAGACTAACCGGCAACGTGTGTTAGGCATTGACTTATCCCTACTCAGGATTCGGGATAAAATTCCCCATGCATAAAAGGCATGGATTTTTGTTGCTACGATGCTGAATACGTAGACTCGGTCGTTTTTACGGGAACGAACTACCCAGCAACGCGGGTTAAGCGTTGACTTATCCCTATTTAGGCTTCGGGATAAAATACCCCAGACTGGATTCTGGTTTCTTTTTCAATCGGTGAAAGACTAAACCGACAACGTGTATTAGACGTAGGCTTATCTCTATTTAGGAGTCGAGATAAAGTTCCCCGTACATAGAATGTACAGATTTGAAGTTAAGAATTGTGTCTTTTCTCAGGGTAAAGACGAACTGGAAAATGGAAGAGGAAGAATTTTATATTCTATCTCCCGGCACTGAAAAGGAAGAATTTTATATTCTATTTACAGTTGGAAAGGAAACTGAAGGTGGGATCTTATAGGATTGGTTGCTTGATCCAAGAAAAGAGTTCCTCATTTATTGAGGGGAAATTCCAATTTCGACCCTAACTTTTATAGGTTTGGTTGAAAAAGAAAAGATGAAAGTCTTTCGTTTATCGAAATGGATGACTCGATCTTTGTCCTAACTATCTGCAGGTTTGACTAAGTGAGGTTGGAGACAATCCTAACTTTTATAGGTTTGATTGCTCGAATTGAAAAAGGACATCGCGTTCATGGAAGAAATCGAGAGGAGAATCTGGTTGTGGTCTTAACTTTTATAGGTTTGACCAAGGAAGCAGTGGAAGTGGGGGGTTTGAGACGATCTTACCTTTTATAGGCTTGATCGTTCAATTTGAAAGTGGACCTCTCATTCATGGAAGGAATCGAGAGGGGACTTTGGTGGTGGCCCTAACTCATAGTGGGGGTTTAGTGTTTATCACCTTGTTCGTAATTATCGGGTTATCCCTAAGAAAATTACATATAGCGTTCTTCTGGGAACTTCCCATTACATGAATCATCCACCCCCAGCTTCCTTCTTGGAACTGGGTCTGACTTTGTACTCCGTTACATGACCGGGTTATCCTTAAGAATATTAGCGTAACATTCTCCAGGAACTTCCTATCAACGGTAGGAAACAGTTTAGACTCATATACCTATTGGAGTATCAGGGAGCAGTTTAACCTCTTACACTGGTCGGAGGATTAAGCCGATTGGAGGAGTAAGAAGCAGTTTATACTCTTATACTTATCGGAGTGTTCATTCGGTTTAATTGAGCGATATAACGCCGGCTTCAACCAAGGTTTGGATGCTATTCTTAAGAGCGAAACAAGCCTTGGTAGGATGAAGGATCCTCCTGTGATACGCGCAGTACTTCGGATCCGCAGTATTATCAGCTTCCTCCTGATCTGGGATAGGTGGTAGCTTGATCTTGTTATTTTCAAAGAGGGACTCGAAAATAGCTGGAACATCTTCGTCCTTGAAGGAGTACTCTTTTTGGAGTCTCGGATCCGAAGTCTTTTGCTGCCTTCGGGATTGCTGTTGTGACATTTGATTAGTACCAACAGCAGCTGCAGGTGCCTTGCCCTTACCACGGGAGGCAAAGTTCGAGTTCGGAGGATTGGCCGTCGGTTGGCTCCTCTCGGCCTTCTTCCTTCGGAGGAAGCGTTCGGCTTGTTCACCGCGCACCTTCAAGTTTTTCCAAGTGTTAGACGGTGCGACTCCCATAACTTCCAATATCTCAATAGATAGGTTGTTATGACATGTCTGGAGGATGAAGTCCTCCGTGATCGGATCTCGGCAGTTCATTGCTTTATTCCGGAAGCGCTTGACGAAGTCGTCGACTGTCTCGTCATCTTCTTGTTTCTCATCGAAAAGTATCCTGATGGATACCTCGTCGTCGTCATCAAAGAAGTTACCAAGGAATGAGTTCTCCATATCGTCCCAGTTGTTAATACTTCCGGGCTTGAGACGGCGGTACCAATCGAAGGCCGGCCCGCGAAGGGTGCCAACGAATGACCGAACCATCAAGGCTTCATTGCCGGAGATCATACCCAAGATTGCCGGAGATCATGCCCAAGTGGGACTTGAAGTAGATCAGATGTTGTGTGGGCGAACTCTTCCCGTCAAACGGCGTGAAGTTAATCAAGTTGAACTTCGCCGGGTATGCTATTGTGTCCCACTCTCTTGGGTATGGACATGGAATGCCAGTCCTCTTTACCTCTCGATCAGACATTAGAGCGTTGATTTTACTCTCGAGATCTTTCATTTTCTCATCCTCGCTCGTATCGGGCTTTGGACGATTCTTAAGAGGAATAACGGGGCCACCCCCAGCGTTGTCGTCTTTAGTGGGGCCACCCCCAGCGTTTTGGTCAACGAGAGGGTTATCAGCATTAAGGCGTTCATCCACATCTGAATCGCTACCTACTTGGTTAGCAGCGTTGCGACGGCTGGATTCGCCCATTTGATTGGAAAGAGCCTGAATCTGTCGGTCGTGCTCTTCCTTCATCTGTTGCATAGCCGTTTCTATTTCGAATTTAAATGCTTGCTTCTGCTTCGCTAGAGCATCCTCAACCATTTTAGTTGCTTCTTCGGTGTTAATCATAAACACTTCGCGGGATTGCCCTGGGCTAGATACCGTATTGTCAGAAGCGACTGCAGAGTTAGCATCCGATGCTTCATCGTCCGAGGATAACCCTCTCTGCATTCTCTGGTAGTCCCTGCGTCTAGTGGTCCCTGATCGCAACCGGGTTAGACGATGAGATATAAGCGGGTCAGAGCTAGAAGGTCGAATCGACTTTCCCTTATCAGCCATATTTATTGTGACTTCCGGGAGTTCGTCACCTTGAACAACCGATCTCTTTTTACGGAGACGTTTTGGTTTGGACTTAGTCATTCCGTTGGAGATCCTCTCGGATACGGAGACCCTCTGCGGAGCGGTCTTGGGACAACTGCACGCTGATAATACTGCCCTGATTAGTTCGGCGCACGGGTAGTGAGATTTGGTTTCTCGGGCATATCTTTTCCGAGACTCGTTCATACCCCCAGCCCGATAGTACAACTCATCGATCAGATGACCGGAGCAACCTATCGTGTGTTGACATGACTCCCCTGGTATAACGTTGTCATCGTCAGATGAATACGTTTCTTTCAGGGGATTTGCCGCTTTATTAGCATTCTTAAGAGTCACGTGTTTAGAACTACGCTTTTGGGAGCGCATGATCTCAACAGGCTCTTGGTTTTGGATACACACCCCCAGGCGGGCGGAAATTGGAGTTTTCCCTTTATGAGAAGGCTTGAAATTGTTGCGAGGGCGTGTGCAACCTCCAGCTCGACGAGTCGCTCGGGGTTCAGTCACCGGACCCAAGCATTCTTCGATCAGAACTTTGCCTCGATCCTCGTGCAAAGGACCCAGGCGATCGACTATCCTCACTTTGAATCGGGACAAATCCACGTTGTCACGGTGCCCCGCCGGAGGTACGGAACTCACAGGGATCGACGAAACAGGTGTAGAACATCTTCTGCCTTGACTCTGGCGCGGGTCAGATTTAAGTGACCGACAGGTTGGAGGGTCGGATTCAAGTGACCCGCAAAGTGGAGGGTCGGATTTGGGTGACCCGCAAAGTGGAGGGTCGGACCCAAGTGACCCACGATTTGGAGGGTCGGATTTGGACGACCTGCAGATTGGCGGGTCGGATTTTGGTGACCTGCAGATTGGAGGGTCGGACCCAAGTGACCCGCGATTTAGAGGGTCGGATTTGGGCGACCTGCAGATTGGCGGGTCAGATTTGGGTGACCTGCAGATTGGCGGGTCGGATTTTGGTGACCTGCAGATTGGAGGGTCGGACCCAAGTGACCCACGATTTAGAGGGTCGGATTTGGGCGACCTGCAGATTGGCGGGTCAGATTTGGGTGACCTGCAGATTGGCGGGTCGGATTTTGGTGACCTGCAGATTGGCGGGTCGGATTCAAGTGACCCACGATTTAGAGGGTCGGATTTGGGCGACCTGATCTTTTCGGCCGCCGTCTTGTACTTTGGCCTCCAAACTTTGTGTAGTTTTGGTGGCTTCTTTTCCACTTCTTCCCTCTGCAATCTTTTGACCTCTTGCGCAAGAATTCGCGCGCGCGCAAGCAGTACGCGACGCTTTTTGATCCGCTCTTCAAGAGTTGAACGGGTCCTTTTGACTTGTACCCATTCACTTGTTGGTGATTTGGAGGAGAGGGCATTTTTCCGCTGTTGGGGCGCTTGACGTTGCCTAATTTTCAGATCCGCCTCATAACGGATCCCGTCAATTGACTCCAAGGCTCTAGAGAGTTGGCGCGCACAACGTTGGCGCTGCTTTTGACGAGTTCTCTTTGATAAAATAGGCGCGCCTTCTGTACTCAACTCCTTGATTGAGGAGGAGTTCTGATTTACAGATTCGGACTCATTGGAGGCCGGAAGGGCGTTGCAAGGTTCAGCTACCGCAATAACGGGGGCGTTGATCTTCCTTCGCTTGCGAGAGGCGGAGGATCTAGAGGAGGAAGACGACAGATATTCCTCGAACTTCAGTTGGTCGAACTCGTATTCGACCACTTCTTCAACCGGGATGCAGATCCGAGGTTGCGACACGACAGCTCCGGAAGTGAAGCTGTTGGCTCCCACTATGGTCGCCAGTGTGTTTGCGTCGAAAATTGTTGTATTCATTGCGGTATTCATTACAACTTCGATCGTTACAATGAAAACAAAAAAAAAATGTCTTTTTATTAGACTTTTACACAATGAAAATAAAAGTTTACAACTCTCGTCAAAACAAACGCAGAGGACGTTTATCACCCGCTGCTTTGCGTGAGATCTTTGCCTGTGCCGGGGTTTATCCGTGGACCGCCTTAGATCTGGATCCGGTTGATGGAAAATTCGGCAGAACTTCTCCTTCGTCGAGGAAGTATTTGATTTGAAGCGCTGAGATCGACCAAGCGAAATCAGGGCTCTTCTCGAGATTAAGACCAAGCCTAATCTCAAGGGACGGACGGGAACGGGCGTCGGATCTCTCGAACTCTCCTTCTTTATGCCGAAGAACTCGCCAAGATCTGTCAACCCTCGCTGAAATTCGTGCTCCTTTGACTCCACAATCCGGCAGCACCTCCTCGTCTTGATAATCAATCGCCCCTGAAAAATGGAGGCCGCGCGGCCGCGGGTCGGACGAGGCCGACCCGCGCGGACGCGGGGTTTTTTGCTTTGTTGAGTTCTTCGGTGTTTTCCGGCTTTTCAGGGCTTGTGTTTTTCACCGTTTTGCGTGTTTGACCGTCTTGTTGACTTGTACGCTTCGTTGCAGAATTGACCGTCAAACGCGTGTTGATTGACGCACGCATGTTGATTGACACATGCGAACTGATTGATGCGCACGAATTGGTTAACATGCACGAGTTGAATGATGCGTGCGTGTTAACTGACTGTTGGGCGCGTTTGTACGCTTTGAGTTGATTAACGCGTGCGGTCCACTTAGCGTTTGCCCTTGTGGTGGTTCGTTGTCGTGTCATCAACAGTTTGCCGATTCGCTTCATGCGCTTGTCGACGTCGGATGATCCTCTTTGCTTCGGATAATAATGTTCATCGCCTTCTCTCTGTCTCGAGCTGTGTGCGGACACCTATAGGCATTTTTAGACGCCTACAACATTCAGACTGATCACAAGAGGCTTCCTCCAAGAGAAACAAGGGCTGAGAGCTTCAAACTAAAACCATGTTGTTTCTATCATTTTGAATTACATTTCTACTACTTTGCTGCTGATTTATATCCCAAACCGCAACCATTAACGTATTCTACATGTCATCTATTCCTACCCTCTCATCTAACACCGTGTTCTTCTTTGCTTCAGATTGTCATAGAAAATTATATCGAGAAAGAGAGCGCTCACCGCCACCCATCAGCAAGAAGGGCGAAAGAATGGACGGTTGTGTCTTAAGATATGCAGATTCAGAAGGAAGTGTTCATTTAGCTCGAAGAGTACTATATCTACTGCTTGATGCTAGAAATGGAAGTTTTATTACTTTCCAGTTTGCTGCGCTTCTTTGTCTTTCAGTTTGTAAATAATGATATGTAAATGGTGCCCTTAGGAAATAGGAGTGCCCAACTGCTTGTTTATCATTTACAAATTTAAGGGATCGTCCTCAGAAACAAGATTGCAGATAAGTTGTGTAACGTTCGGCCCCTACCTTGATTCTGCAGGGTATAGCAGCGATATTTATCTTAAGAATGATGCTAATTGGACTACAAGTCTCATACTAAGTCCAAACTATGAGAATCATAACGTGTGTGGTGCGCTTTGAGATGCTATCAAATTCCACAAATCGTCAAGGACCCACACTTTTTGTATGCAGGTAGTATAAAATTAGTTGTACTCTAGTTTCCAGTGCTCTTCTCCTTTATACGTGTACTGGGATGAAATTTAAACTTGAATTCCTTTGATATCATATTAAAGACCCGCTCCTCTCGGTGAGGGTTCAGGGCTATGATTTTATCCTCTCACAAACTCGTTGAAGAACAAAATAATATACCGTACAAAAAAAGAGCTTTGGTTGTACTTGTTTGCGTCAAAAGTTGGTTTTGTCATGGAATTCATTATATCTTCGGTCGATTACAATAAATTCAAAAAGAGATAGCCTTTTTATAAGACTTCCTTTACACAACAAAATAAAAAATTACAACTTTTGAGAAACAAACGCATGATCGTTGTTTGGATCACTGCTTGCGTGGGATCTTTGTCTGTGCCGGGGGTGTGTTAGCCCGTGGACCACCAAATCACAGATTCTGATTGAATCGTGAGGGGTTTATGATTCTGACTTCGTTTATCGAAGTGAGAACTTGAAACGATATCTTATCAAGGTAAGATAGTCGTTCTTCTTGAAATCAAGTCAAAGCCTGAATATCAAGGAGTTGCTGACGCTCGAGTACTCTGCTCTGTCTGCTCTGGGATCAGCCTCGGATCTCTCTGATCAGCCTTGGATCTCTGTTGGAAAACCCCCCCCAAAGAAATCACCTCGGGGGTATTTATAACCTCTGTATGAACAGTGCTCGCGAGACAGCGTTTGCTGTCTCGGCGGGCGAGACAGCATTTGCTGTCTCGCTGGCCGAGACAGTGTTTGCTGTCTCGCCCAGCGAGACAGTAAATTTGCTGTCTCGCCCAGCGAGACAGTAAATACTGTCTGACAGTTTCTCGCTGTAACTGCCTTCCCACGTTTTAAACTCCGTTATTCTGGTAGTTATCAACGTGATTCTCGTCCACGACGTTCCCCACGTTCTTGAACAGTTGGTGGCCACGTGTCGGCGGTTATAAAGTGGTTTCTAACTTCTTTGAAAACTGTCTCATGGGCGAGACAGAGAATGCTGTCTCGCGGGCGAGACAGAGAATGCTGTCTCGCGGACGAGACAGAGAATGCTGTCTCGCCTGGCGAGACAGACTGTCTCGCATGCGAGACATCCCAAACTTGTGTTCTTCTGTCTTTTTGGATGATTTCCTCTTGAGCTGTATTTGGATATCTTTCAGCATTTTTTGACGCCTACAACCGAGAGGAGTGTGTGGTGAGAGACGGGGTCGAATCCAAGAGGAGTGGCGTCGGTTGAGCTGTATTTGGATATCTTTCAGCATTTTTTGACGCCTACAATGTTGAGTCTGAGAAATGCCAACGACGGGCAGATGGAAATGTTGGTGGATCCATTGTCGTTTAATTTGCTTTGAACATGTCCAGAGACTCAGATTTTTCATGAATAAGATATAGGTGCCCATAACGTGAGTAATCGTCTATGAATGATATAAAATATTGTTGACCATTCCAGGATTCCGTAGGGAATGGCCCACAAATATCCGTATGTATCAATTCTAAGACATCCGAAGATCTGTTGGCACCTAATCTTTTCACTTTGGTCTGTTTTCCCTTGATACATTCAACACATACGTCGAAGTCCGAAAAATCAAGGGAATCCAAAATGCCATCAGACACAAGACGCTCAATTCTACCTTTTGAGATATGACCTAAGCGCTTATGCCATAATGTCGCCGAATTTTCCTTATTTAATTTACGCTTAGTACCACGTGATTCCACATGCAAGGATTCATTGTAAGAAGCAATTGTATCAAGCAAATATAGGTTGTCATAAATACTCAAGTAACCGGTTCCCACAACATTTGAATTAAAAGATAAACTGAATTGACTGTTTCCAAATGAACAAGAATAACCTGATTTGTCCAATACAGAAACAGAAACCAAATTCCGTCTAAAAGACGGTACTACAAAAGTATCTTTTAAATCCAAATAATAACCAGTTCCTAACAACAACCTAAAGTGCCCAATTGCTTCCACATCTACCGATTGTCCGTCGCCCACAAAGATGTGTCTTTCAACATCACTTGGCTTTCGGTAGCTCAGGCAACCCTGCATAGAAACACTTATGTGAGTAGTAGCACCAGAGTCTAACCACCAAGTGTTTCTAGGTACTGAAGCTAAATTAACCTCAGAACAGACCAAAGCAAGGAACGTACCCTTATTATCACGCCAGGCGTGATATTTTGTACAGTCCTTCTTTACATGTCCAGGCTTCTTACAGAAGAAACAACCCTGATTATCCTTATGTTGTTTCTTCTCAACTGGACCCTTAGCAGCTTCCTTATCATTCTTCCTTTTCTTGCCCTTATCCTTAGAGGCATAGGCCAAATGAGCACTTTCTGTCTTATCTTGCTTCAACCTGTCTTCTTCTTGCACACAGTATGAAATGAGCTCATTTAGAGTCCATTTCTCCTTTTGACAGTTATAACTGACCTTAAATTGGTTAAACTGTGCAGGAAGAGACAACAAAACCAGATGCACTAATAACTCGTCACAAAGATCGAGTTTAAGTGCCTTAAGCTTTGAAGCAATATGAGACATTTCCATAATGTACTCCCTGATATTTCCTTTGCCCTTATACTTCATTGAAATCAAGCGAGCTAAAAGCGTGCTTGTTTCTACCTTATCGTTTTTCGCAAAACGCTTCTCAATTTCGGCAAGGAAATCTTTAGCCTTAGTAATCCCTTCGGATTCTATGCCCCTGAAGGCTTCCGGAACGCCGCGCTTAATGATCATAAGACTCATGCGATTTGAACGCTCCCACTTCTCATGCTCCTTCTTTGCATCAGGAGTGCTATCCGCATTGAGAGGTTGGGGTTGTTCAGTTCTTAATGCATAGTCAAGATCCATGCAGCCAAGAACAATTAATATGTTCTCTTTCCAAACCTTGAAGTTTGTCCCATTTAGCATGGGAATTGAGTTGATGTTAGCAGAAATTGTTGCAGCAGATGCATTAGCTGAAATAAAACAAAAGAATGCTCACATCAATAACCATAATCAATAAAATTCAAATAATGACAATCCCCATCCAAGATACCGGCACAACATTAATATCAAGTCTTTGGACAGTAATATTAACTTGTAAGTGATACCTTGTTGCAATGATCAAACATTGACAATAACTCATGTCAAATAATGAAACTATCTTTGGATCGATTCATTATTCACATGTAAACCTTATAATTGTCACACGCTTATCATCGCAGATGTGTATACAGTCTAAATAAATATTAACCTTCCTTTGGGCCGATTAAATATTTACACGAAAGCATACACACAAACATCTCACATTCCTCATGAACAATCTACACAAGAGAGGTTACTTTGGCAACTTCTTGTTTCAATTAATCAATTGGAGTGAGAGACAACCTTAATTCCTTAGTTCATAATATTTGAATTAAATAATTGATTAAAAAACCAAATTAGATTTAAATTAAAAATTTTTAATTTAAATCAACTGAATTTTCAAAAACTTAATTGGGGTCTCACAGCTTAATTAGGGCCCATAACTTAATTGAATAAATTAAGTATACCAAAGTGGACCCATGAAAAGCCGAGGCTTAACCATAATGAACACGAAGTTCCTAAAACTTCGAACGCGAGGTTCGACTGTATTGAGTACTAGACTCACTTAAGCACGAACGCGAGGTTCGTCTGAAAATGAACGAACGCGAGGTTCGTTTGATAAAAGAACGCGAGGTTCAACTTGGGAACGAACGCGAGGTTTGTTTAAAAATGAACACGAGGTTTGTTTAAAAATGAACACGAGGTTCGTCTGAAGTTCGAACGCGAAGTTCGTCTGAAGTACGAACGCGAGGTTCGTCTGAAGTACGAACGCGAGGTTCGGCTGAAGTACGAACGCGAGGTTCGTCTGAAGTTCGAACGCGAGGTTCGTCTGAAGTTCGAACGCGAGGTTCGTCTGAAGTTCGAACGCGAGGCTCGACTGAAGCACGACCGCGAGGTTCGTCTGAAGTACGAACGCGAGGTTCGTCTGAAGTTCGAACGCGAGGCTCGACTGAAGCACGACCGCGAGGTTCGTCTGAAGTACGAACGCGAGGTTCGACTGAAGTTCGAACGCGAGGTCCGTCTGAAGTACGAACGCGAGGTTTGTCTGAAGTTCGAACGCGAGGTTCGTCTGAAGTACGAACGCGAGGTTCGTCTGAAGTATGAACACGAGGTTCGTTAAAAATTGAGCTTGACGCTCACCTGAGTTGAACGCGAGGTTCACCTTAGAACGAACGTGAGGTTCGTTAAAATTGAGCTTGACGCTCACCTGAGTTGAACGCGAGGTTCACCTTAGAACGAACGCGAGGTTCGTTGAGCGCGAAGCTCGGTTAAAATTGAACGAACGCGAGGTTCGTTTGAGGTAACCACCTCCTTAATTTTCGCCATGAACCCTTAGGGTTTCAAACTGAAACCGCCGCCGCCAAACCCAAAAAATTCTTCGATTTTTATTTTCAAAACCAGATCCAGAATCGGAAAAAATTTCTTGATCCAGATCCAAGAAAAATTGAAGAAAAAATCAAAGGAAAATCCAAAAAATGCTTCGGCTGTTATATTGTAAGTCGGGGGATTTAATTATTGGATTTATCCCCCCTACTGTCAATCGTCTCCTTGATAGTTTGTTTTCATCTGAAATACTTGAAGTTTGTTTACCTCGACACTAATATTTATATTGATTTTTGGTTGCTACCCCTTCCGCAGGCTGCAATAGTAATTCCTGTTTATGCGATTTGAACAATATTCATGTGTTCTTTCCTTTTGAAATAAAGTATCTGGGTACTTGAATCTGTAAATATCAACAAACCTGTGTGTGGT